ATATATTTTAATCATAAAATAATAATATTTTAAATAGTTTTTTATATACTTAAAAAATACTTAATAAAATATATTTTGAATATATTTTAAATATATTTTAATTATTATAGTTTTTATTGGAAAATTGAAATTCTTTTTTGATATGACATATTTTTTATATTTGATCTATACTATACTTATATATAAAATAATCTATTATAATAAGTATTTTATAGAAGACAAAATTATTTACTTAAATCTGAAATTTTTTAATTACTTAAGTAAATTCTTTGATTGAAATACATTAAACTAGATACTTTTTTTATTTATATATACAGTATATATATATAATAGATATTCCAAAATTTTTTAAAAAAAAAATATCTCAAAAATCAAAAATCAATTTTAGAAACATGTATATTTTATACTGTAAGATAAGATTTTTAATTTAAATATTATAATATTAATTTTAAAGATATATTACACAAGCCAAAATATTATAAATTAGATAGATATTGGATATTCAATATAGTGATATCTACTGTAATTCAAAAAAGTGATATAATTAATTATAATATATAATATATATAATGTAATTAATTAAAACATATGGTATAATTAATTGCAACCATTTACAACTCCTGTAAATAATTATAACAGATTTCTTTAATCTAGTATATGCTCAAATTTCTATATATATCAGGTACCTAATATCTATTCAATTTAGTACAAGTTGAAATGTTATTTATTTACTATCTAGATAACAAATAGGTAATATTTTGACCTGTAATGGTTTTAACTTTGTTATTTATTACTATTTTACAGTAAAAATATAAAATTTTTTTATAAATAAATTAGAAACTTATTTATAAACCAAACCAAGTCTAGTTTGTAAATTAAATTTAAATTTACTGGACTTAAATTAATTCCTATATATTATCTAGATAATATATACTTTATATAAATAAAATTAAATTTATTTTTAAGAATATATAATATTTGGTAAATTTAAATTATCAAACATTTAAGATTATCAAAATATTTTTCATTCAGCTTTTGTGAATTGAAAAGAAACATTTCCAAATTTGTTGAATTTACCTTTGTTTGAGATAATAAATACCTTGACATATATTTTTGAGTTTTGAATTTCTGGAGAACTTTCTAAAATTAGTTAGTAAGTTTTATTTTAGTTAAAAGCCTGAAGGGACAAAAGCAAAAGTTGAAAAACATCTGCATCCATATATATCTGTATAATGGATACAATAGCATTTTTTTTAAATTTGTGAACAGTTCATTCTATTTAAGAGTTTTTGTTGTTAATCAGATCATGTGTTTTACGTTCGTTACCGGAGTATAATCGGTAACACAATCAAGGCAATTTTTTTTTCTTTTTTTTTTTGCATAAGACAGATATAAATTAACCTTTAAAAGATTTTCTTTTCTTTATTGATTCCTTCCTCAATAAATTCTTTTCTTTTTCTAAAAGCTTAAAACATACAGTCACACTAAAAAAAAATACAATAAGAATAGAAAATGTCAGAGAATGAAATTAATTTCCCAATAGACGAAACTACTCGTGTAAATGTAGAGCAAGAGAATACGGAACATGAAAACGGCAGCAGTGTATTTACTTTTAATGCTGAAGGGGAAATGCGGACCGTTTTCTCTGATCCAGTAAATTTTAATGTGAAACACCCATTATTTAATAGCTGGACTTTATGGTTTGATAATCCAGGCAAAAAAGCAAGCACAGCTTCATGGTCCCAAAATTTAAAAGAGTTAATCACATTTGATTCAGTTGAAGAATTTTGGGGGTGAGTAGTCGACAGTCTTCTACGAGTTCAACTGTGAATATTATATAAAGATTAATTCTTATTACTATAATTTTATTTATCAATTTTTTGTGACAGTGTCTATAACAACATAGTTAAAGCTAGCGATCTTTTTTCTGGTTCTAATTATCACCTTTTTAAACATGGAATAAAACCTATGTGGGAAGATACAGCCAATGAACAAGGTGGAAAATGGGTTATTCAGTTTCCTCGAAATAAAACCGGAGAAGAAATTAATAACTATTGGCTTTATACAGTAAGTTATTATTACTATTATAATAACAACAAATTAGGAATTATTAGAATAATTATTTTTATTTTTATCTATATATTTTCATAAACATAATTTCTGGATAAAATTTTTTTTTCTGAAAGATGCTTGCTTGTATTGGGGAATCATTCGATTATCCTGATGAAATCTGTGGCACTGTGGTTTCTGTTCGTAAAATTTTCTATAGAATTTCTCTTTGGACACGTACATCAACTAATAAAGAAATCTGCGAGACTCTTGGGTATGTTTAAAATATATTTAATATATTTTATAAGTTTATAAATTTTATAAATTCTTTTAATTTTTAAATGTTATGAGATAAAAATGGATTATTAACTATCTTTAAATCTTTGAATGTTGTTTAGACGTCAACTGAAACAAACTTTGGGAGTAAGCCCAAATCAACAACTTGAATTTCAGCCGCATTCCGATTCTATTAAGACCGGGACACATACTAAAGAACGATTCGTTGTATAAAATGCAAAGACGGGGGACACTTTAGGGATTTTCGTAATCTAATGATGTATTGCATTAATTTTTATTATTTCTTATTATTTCTTTGTATTATGCTTTCTAGATGGAAATCAATTACGTTCATTACTTGTCAATTGCTATTTGATAGGATTTCCTAATGTCCAGCAAGTGGTAATTGTAGCATCAAAAATCTCCCGATTCTGTATATTAGCTTTATAATTCTTGATACCTAGATACCCGTAAGAAATTACAGCGGTATTGTAAGATGCAGACATCATCATTCTAAAAAAAAAAAAAATAAGGAAATACACGATTTTCCGACGATCAATATCACCAATATCAATGCAAACCGTAATTTCCATCGGATTGATCATCAGTCTTTTTTCCATATAAACTATAATATATAGAATAATTGCACAAAAATTTAATATAATTATTTAAGATATTGCTGATCTGATTTTTCAAAAAAAGGATTCACGGGTTTCACATTATAGATGGTGTGGTGAATGTTTACTCTTTTACTCTTATTTACTCTTTTGTGTTATATCTAATTTTTCCGTAGAAACTATAATGATTCTGAGATAATCGATACATTCTCGATACATTCTCGAAAGAATTAAGGCAACCTTAATTGGATACAACAGTATTTGAATTAATTATAATTGCAGATTATTTGAATAAATTCTTTTTATAACTTTTTAATTAAAATCAACATCCTGTTTTAAAATAAGTTTTTTCTAATCTTGAGAGACTAAAATTAATGCTGTAATTCAGTTCAAATAACTCGTTTACTATTCTTAAAGATTTTCATTATGAAATATATTTAATTTACAAATGAAAAATTTCAGTCTACATTTGAAAACCTTTAACAATTATGTTAATAATATATTCATATATGGTTATCCTAGATTTAGATTTTATCAAAATCAAGAGATATCTTTTGTGTAATGTTTTGGTTTTATTCAATTAATCTATAAAAAATAATATATATATATATATATATATATATATTTTGAAGTCTTTAAAACTATATAATTATATAATCATTCGGTTACATAACCTATACGTAATATATTTTATTTTCTACCTAGTTGTAATAAAAATATATTATCATAATTTAATTATTTTTAATTATGATATAAATATGGAATATATTTTGGTTTGTCTTTAAATTTTGGATTCATTCCAACTTCATCATCAGGCATATTCATTTATGCTCTTGACTTGTCACAAACTTACCTACAAGTGTTTTGATGAATAAATCAATCTTTTTGATTAAATATAAATCTTCTGACACTTTAAAGGTTTGCAATTCTTTGTATTATTATGACAATTGAGGAATATTATCGAAGTATATATTGTATGTATAAGCACATGTTGTGATAATTACAATGTATTTCTCAAATATAAAAGGAAAAAATGGAATTGTGATGATTTTATGATAAAGCAATAATAAAAAAAAATACATAGAAAAAATATATACGAAATCCAATTGACATCCTTTATTATTATTAACGTCCACCAAGACCTCGTCTCTCAATTTCTTCAAGAGTCATCATTCCACGTTGTTGAATATTTGAATTATTCGGAATTCCTATTGTGAAAATAAAAATAATAAATTAAGATATTGTGGACATAATATATAATTTTATATAATGATTTCTTATAAACATTAACTTACCTGGTATATTGTTTGGTGTCATTGCGTTATTAACAAGATTCGGAATAAATTGTGCATATCCGTGCATGTTAGCAAATAAAGCTTCAGTGCCAGGAGGTAACATTCCCGGATGATGATGTACGGAAAGATGTTGCGGTATAGGTGGGGCATTAAATTGAAGTTGTTGAGGAAATCGTTCGGGTTGATGTTGGAAACCATATGGTAAAGGTGGGGGAATGGATGCAGGCATTGGAGGTTGTTGAAATTGTGGATGAATCTGTTGAGGAACGTTACGTGGTGGCATCATATTAAACAATTGTTCAACTGGTATGTTACGACCTACTGATGGTGGAAATTCTTGTCGATTATGCGAATGCTGGGAAATGTTGGGTCCATTAGAGTACGGGGGAACGATGTTATGATATGAAGAATGATTATGACTTTGTTGATGTGAAAGAACAGGTGAACGAGGTGAGGTTGATTTAAATGTTGGTGCATGAATATCATGAATTGGCGCAGATGATTGGGGTGAGTTGGGAAAATTGGAAATGTTTGAAATGTTTGAAACAATAGGTTTGGTATTGAATTTCAATGCTGGTGAAGATGCGGTTGAAGATTCTCTTGAACTATTATCTGACCTGGAACTCAACTGTCGATATACAGAAGTCGGAACATTTCCTCCAAAGAGCATATTGATTTTTTTAACTGAATCGGATGCCGGCAATTCAGAAAATCCTATATTTCTGCTTGACATTTCACCTTTGGGTTGAGGTTGACCAGTTTTTATCATAGGGTTTGACTTTTGTGCACTAATAATAGATGGGTCATTAAAGGGTAACCCTGGTTGTGGTATTACAGAATGTTGAGCATCTTGAGGATGGTTTGATGCAACAGTGGATACAGTGGGTAAAGTAGATGGTGGTTGTCTTGGTGCTTCTGTAGACTATGATTAAATGATTAGAATAATATTTTAATAATTTTAATAATAGAAATTCAAATGAAGATAAGTTAGCTTACAGGTCCCTTTTTCAAAGCTGCGATTATTTTGAACATAGCAGCTTCATCTTCATGATTCCTTTCTTTGATTTCTGGTTTAAGTTTAGGTTTTGCACCAAGGGTTTGTAGTACTTCATCTTCTGTGAGCATTCGTGTACCAGCACCGTCATTTGATTTTATTCGTGGTGAAAGAGGCGCGGTGGTAGGCGGTGCTGAACTTTGAAATAATGTGTCAAGGGTAATCGGTACAGGTTTTGACTCGTTTGAACTTTGTGTAGTAGATATTGGAAATCTTGAATTTTTTTCAGGATTATCATTTTCTTGAGGACTTTCGTCAGAATTATTAGTAAAAAACCTGGCGAAACGGGATGTTCCCTGTTCCCGAGTGTTTGTTTCTATACTTTTAACACCAACTTTTGACACATTATCTTCGGCCATTGCAAGCTTATTATGCTGTGAAAGAAATTTATTAAAGGCAGAAGAACCAGGATCTAAAGTAGCGTTAAGATCAATCCCGCCAGGACCAAAGAGCTGATCGACATTTGAAGCTTCTATTGTCAAATTAAGACATTGAAACAATTGTTGGGAAAAATAAACATAAATTTTGAAGTCGGCATTTTAAATTTTTTTTTTTTTTTTTTACTTTACCTTCGAACTCGGATGAATTTTTATTTTTCTTTGAGCCATTCTGCAGCGGATCAAATGTTGAAATTCCGGAAACTGAATATGAATCATCATTCGTGACAACTTTATTTTCTGGTCGCCAAGAAATGCTACTATCGGCTCGAGAAACACTCCGAGCTCTTCCTTTCTCAACTGAATCTTTTTTCTCTTTTTCGGATTTTGTTTTTTCCTTATCCTTACGTTCACGATCTTGCTCTTTCATCTGAGACTTCCAAGCTTGAATATCGAAATATTTTTTATCTTCAAATTCGCCATTTTCACCGTTTTTTGAATCTTCATCAGTTTGCGGGTTATAGTTCAACCATTCTGGTGTTTCGGATCTTTCTTCCTGTTGGTGTTGTTGATGCCTAGAATAATTTATTCGACCTAAATGTTCTTTACCACCTATATTACCTATTAAGGATTGATTAATTTCATTTAAATATAATATATATAATTTAGATATGATATTTTTAAATCTGTTTTACCATCTCTCCTATTATTCTTAATATTCGTTTCGTGAGGTCTTGAATGTCCATGCCCAAGTCCACGCCCACCATGCGTATGATGTAAAAGTCCAGTTGATTCTTTATACGGCTTTTCGGTTAGAGTACGATCTCGAAGAGCTTCTCTACCCACGAATCCCCGTCCACCTGAAGGTCCGCGAGGAGCCCGAGGTTCAAAGTCTTTTCCGCCAGTCCTTGGAAATGAGACATCCTCCTGACATTTCAATATCGGATGATCGTTTATTGAGTATTATGATGTTATTCTAAAACAGATCAAGGCCAATGAAGCACTCACTTGGCGTTGTCGCAATCCTTCGGACCTGCCTGCCCTTACTTGTGTTGATTTATCTTCATTGGTATTTTTTAATCCCCCAATTGAGGATGATGCGAAATTCATCTTTGGAGGACCAAGCACAATGTTATCTTTATCGCATCAAATGCAAATTAATCTTTAGAATGAAATTTGAATTAACAAAAAAAAAAATTGACGTTTAAATATGATATCAAGTAATTACGGGATTTACCTGGTGCCCTTGGTGAAGTCGGTTGTGACCCATTGGGACTCTTAGAAATTCCTAATGAGGGGCTCTTTTGAATCCCTAATAGATTGGGTTCTTCTTTGGATTTATTTAATCCTTCACCAAGGTTATTACTATTGTATTTACTTAATGAAATACATAAAAAAATTTAATAACTTCCAATGATTTTATGTTACATGAAAGTTGGATATTTAAATACCTTCTCTCATTTTCCTGAGAACCGTCAGTATGATTTTTCTTCCCCTCTTTTTTCGTAGGTTCCCTAAAAATATAGAAATTAAAATTTATTTAAAGTTTGTATAAAATGCTATCAAGATATTTAATAAAGATTATAGCAGAAGTTTGACTTTACCCATTAAACCATGTATTTATTGGTGGTAGTGCGCTCGGTTTTACTACAAGTGGACTATAACGTAAAGCCAATAATTGTTCTTTTGTATATCTATATCGAGTCACGGCTCTTGTTTGTATAGGTAAGGGATCTGGGTTTAATTTATCTTTATTCTTAATCGCGTCCTCAGGAACATTTTCAGCAGGCATCTGGAGGTTAGAGTCTAATTTTGGCGAATCTACAGATGCATGGATGCTAGACTCGCTTGATCTAATCGTAGCATCTTCAACTTCAGACATCTGAAACCTCCAGCTAAAAATCAAATAATAAAATGAATTATAAAATAAAAGGAGTGTATGATTATGCTAACAATCTGAATACGCTTGTATTTTGCAAATCACCGTCACAGACGAGAGTAATTGATCCCTTATTACGGGTGATTTAGAATGTTGACAAGAAGACACAAGAAGTACTATGTATAAACAAAGTAGGTTATAAGTAGAGATAAATGTTTAAAAGGAGGGCAACCTTAATATCACCAATATTGTTATAAAAATGAGACATGTGATATGGATATAAAATTGCTAATACTAAATTACTAAATTGAAACTCAAAACTATTACTATTCTATTCTATTTATTCTATTTGTAAAATAATTATATATTTTTTTGAGTCTGTAATTAATTTAGACATTTTTTTTTATTCTTTAGTTATCATCTTTTTAAATTTTATTTTAAAATAAATTTTTTTCATAAAGCAATAACCTTCAAAATAGTGGTTCATTTATATTTATCATTTATGAATAATTGAATAATTATATGAATTTCCACTAAAATTATATCTTTGATTTTAAAAAATTTATTTCTTTAAATTCATTTTAATAAATTAATAATGAAGAAATGTGATTTAGATATATCATTCAATTATATTTTTTTGACCAACTTTTTTTTTTTAAAAAAAACCTATAAATTTTATTTTTTGTTTTCATTATTCTTACTGTTAAAATTATTTCATTGAAGATCCGTCTTTGTGTAATTAATGGGTTATTAAATAACCAATAGCCAACCAAGTAATAATAGTAAAGTACTAATAGGATTACAAGTTTGCAGAGCGATTTACATGTTTACTGTAGCGAATTAATTGTCTCTGATGATCACCCATTGTGGCTCATTATGGCACTTGTGGCACTTTTTGGCAATTCATTTTAAATTACCTTATTTTATGTTAAAATAAAATATATATATATAAAGCCTGGAGTTTGCGATACGGATGATGAATTTCGACACGGTTGCGACGTGGTGATCTTTTCGTCTGAGCCAAAAAAAAAAAAGTAAAAAAAAAAAAAATATATATTCATATGGAAATCCGTATACCAAGTATTTCGTTCCACGGCACACCTGTTATATAGTAGCAATTTTATTCGAAAGTTACTGGCCTTGCGATTGAGAGTTTATCCTATGACTACGATCAACAAAAATACAATAACCAAAATGACGAAGGAATTAAATAAAAAATGAAGTAGGAAAAAAATATAACTTCTCTTGCAACCCTTAGTGTATGTATGTTATCATAATGATAGCTTCGCGAAGTGGTATTTTTCCATATAAACTAATGTATAAAGAATAAATTCAACATGCCAACATGAGAAATCGGGTATTACAGTACAATGAACCATAAATATGAACAAATTACTCTTGCGACGGTTTCTCAACGGCGCACCCAGAATGCAAGGACTTCTTTCATCTGATGGTAAGTCGTTCTCTACTCCATGTTAAAACCTAAAAACTATCCACAAATAATGACGATCAGTCTGATTAAAACTAAAACGTATATATAAATATTTTTCCATGTGTTTCTCGACAAGTCATAGATTTAGTGCTTTGGGATATCGAACGTTATAAAACATATCAAGAATGAAAACTGCAGCGATTTGATTGCCCCCGAACCATCTTCCATTAAGTCCGTTAACAGCATTTTGGGCAGCGGTTACTCCATCAAATTTCATGTAGATGTCACCCTATAAAAGGAGACAAAGGAGACAGTTTTTAGAATATGAATAGTAATAAATAAATATATATATATTTCATAATAACAAAAGATAACAAAAGATGTTTGTACTTACGTCTGATTCTTTATCAACACTAATATGAACCAACGTTCCAAATTTTTCACATTCCGATCTCACATCATCTTCGAGTTCTTCTGCCCAATTGGATTCAGTTTCCCTAGATAAATTCAATAATAATTAACATAATTTTATTTTAAAATATGAAATAACCTGAATTATCGGGTATAAAGCTTACTCTTCAGGATTAAACATATTTTTTAATAGTACACAACGAGTCGGGTTCACTCTTGGCTGAATAGGTTTTGGTCTAAAATAAATGTAAAACAAATCATAATAAATAATCATTGTTAAAAACATCGTTAATAATTATGTAAACGATTAATGTACATCATTTCTTAAAATAAAATAAAAGATATTTATTAAACGATACTAACGGTTCTGTCATGATAGGTTGTGTCGTAGGAGCAATTAAATCAGTATCGCGAGCCAATTTTTGCATCAATTCCACCCTCGATTGCGCATTGAGAGCCAAACCAGCAACATCTGAAATAGAAGTAGATGGATAAATATGTACAATAAATGTAATATTATTTGATCATATTTGTCAGGACATATAAATACATACCACCATCATCGAGATTCAGATTCATGCCATTACTCTTATCCGTAACAAGACCTACTTTAATCTACAAAGAAGAAGAAAAACCAGTTAAAATCAATGATAAAATTTAAAGAATTATTTTCATCATTTTCTAATTAATTAGTGATAACATACAGTTCTTCCGGCCAATTCAAACCCATTCATTTTTTCCAATGCTTGTTTAGCGTCTTCTGGATTTTTATATCTAGAATGAAAAAAAATAATTTAATAAATTGTTAATATTTTTGTATTGAATTTTCTAGACTGGTAAAAAATTAAAAAAAAAAAAAAGAAATAATTACTGAATAAAGGCAAATCCTCTAGAACGACCGGTTTCAGGATCTTTATGTAAGTTAACAAATTCCAAAGGTCCAAATGGCTCGAAGACTTGTCTCAAGTCGTCTTCTGTTAAATTGAAATGAACAGATCCCACATATAACCGATGATATGCGATATCGGTTGCATGCGAAGCTCTATGTGCGACTTTGCATCAGAAAATTGTCTTTCAATATATCAAATTTATCATAAATTTATCATAAACTCACGCTTGTTCAGCCAGCCTGGCTTGTCTGTTTTTTTCCGCTTCAGTTAATTGTACAATCACAGGAATGCCCAAAAGTTTTTGTCCAGTCAAAGATAGAGCTTTTGGAACAGATTCTTCATCATAAAATTCCACATAACCAACTCTAAAATAATAATAATAAAAATTAATATTAAAATAAGGATCAATGTATATTCTTACGTTTTTAAGATAACATCTATATAAATTATTATACTCACCCTTTTGATCTTCGGGAAATTCTGTCAGCAATAATTTTCGCATCTCGAACCTTTCCAGCTGATGAGAAAAATTCTGCAAGTTCTCTAGTTCGAAGGCGCGCAGCCAATTGCATGACAAATACTGTACGTTTATCCCGTTCCTCTTCATCTAATGGTGGGGTTGGTGAACGTCTCCGACGATCACTGTAAAAATTAATTTTTTTTAGTAAAATTATCTTACAACGAATATATTGTTTTTAAAATTAAATTTTACCTAAATCTGCTGGGACTTCTACTTTTTCTGCGTGAGCGACTTCTACGTCGTCTTTCTCTATCTCTTTCTCTATCTCTTTCTCTATCTCTTTCTCTATCTCTTTCTCTATCTCTTTCTCTGTCTCTTTCTCTGTCTCTTTCTTTTTCTCTTTCTTTTACTCTTTCTCTTTCTCGAGAACGAGTTCTACTCCGCCGTCTTTTTTCACGCTCACGCGATTTAGAACGACTATGTCGTCGTGTTTTCTCTCGCGATCTAGAACGTGATCTTCGTTTACGATGACTTCGATTTCGGGAATGCGATCTCTGTCTGTGACTAGAAGTTCGCGAACCACTCCTGTGACGTCGTCGTTCATCACTAAAATATTATGAAAGTTGGGTAAGCAAAACTCTCTTATTTTTCGCATTTTAAATAGATAATGACCTTTTTACATCGTCTTTTTGGTCAAGTCGACCCTTGCCATTCGTAACTAGAGGTACAATGGGTTCCTATAAAAATAAAACAAGTTATTAATCGATGCACGATCCTATGTAAAAATTTATAAAAAATTTTTTAATCTATCCCTTTTGGAATGGTGCCTCTAGCATTGCTTCAACGTCAAGATCTTCGTTCATCGTTTGATACTTTTAAGACTAAATATATTTCTATAAGTAATTTAATAATCAAGGCGCAAGGCAACTTTTGATTTTTACATTTCCGCACTACTGGCGTTTATGCTGCTTATCTGCACGTGATCATATGATTTTTACCAAATAAGAATTTAATTTTTCAAAAAAATTTTCTCTCTATTATGTATATTAAATTTTATTTAATTATTTTTTTTAGTTTATATATATGTATATAGAATAGGTTTTAATAAATTCTTAATTCTTTGTGCAATTACTTGAGAGAATTTAGAATAAATTAATCTGAGATCTTTTATTTCAAATTTTATAAAAATATTTAATAAAAATTAAATAACAAATAATTTATTGCAAGCTAACTTTGTTCCTTTTTTTTTTCTTTTTACTTTTTACTAAAACAAGAGGAGTTATTTTATTACCTCAATTTTTTACCTAATTTAGCTATTAAGTAGGGAATTTTTCATATTTTATTATTTCCAAAAAACTTTTTTAAAAAAATGTAATTTTAATTTGTTACTATTAATATCTCTAACTAATTTGGTCATTATTAATTATTCCCGTGATTTGTTATATAAAATTCGTCATGGTGATTAAGAAGCTACTAGAAAACGCCTAACCAATAATATTTATGTTGATATCGGTGATCACATGGCATAGTAATCACCTTTGTAGACGGTTCAGGTTTTCGTTTAATATCAGTTTTATCACAAATAAGACTGAATATGGACAAAATACCTGAACATAGGAAAAATGCTTTTAAAGCAAAATCCGTTTTCAAAGCTGACGAATTACGTCGTCGCCGTGAAGAGCAACAGATCGAAATTCGCAGAAAAAATCGGGAAGAATCTCTGGCAAAACGCCGCAATCTCAATATTCCTGCTTCTCCTGACTCCGATGATGAGACTGCTGTTGCAGTCATCAATGCTCAAGTATGATTATCTTTTCTTGCAATTTTGTTTCCTTTATTGATAGAAATCAATATAAAGCATGAAAAGTTCACAAAGTTCAAACTTTGTTAACTTTATTATAAAATTTTTGGGATCTTGATAATTTTTATAACTTTATTTACTATTAAGATTTTTTAATTTGATTGTATTAATATAACATATATAATAAAATGTTACTAATAATAACATTTATTATTAGCTCCAAGAACAATTACCAGGCATGATACAAGGTGTTTTCTCTGATAATGTTGAGGAGCAACTTCAAGCTACGACCAAGTTTAGAAAGTTGCTTTCTAAAGAGAGAAATCCGCCTATTGAGCAGGTTATTGAATGTGGTGTGGTTGTACGATTTGTTGAATTCTTGAGATCTCCACATTCTTTAGTTCAGGTAAATGAACTATAATAGTCTATAAAAAAATTTTTAACTTCAAATAATCATGAAATTTGACATGATCTCTTTTAAACTTGTAACTAGTTTGAAGCGGCTTGGGCCTTAACAAACATAGCCTCTGGATCTTCTGAACAAACTCAAGTTGTAATTGACGCCGGAGCTGTCCCAATCTTTGTTGAGTTATTGAGTAGTCCTGTTGCAGATGTTAAAGAGCAGGTAAGCACTCTTAAATTAATTAACTGATTTTATTCTTCATTCATTATTAAAATTTTTGATAAAATTTTAACAATAGGCTGTATGGGCATTGGGTAATATTGCCGGTGACAGTCCGCCATGCCGAGATTATGTCTTACGTGAAGGTGCTCTTCGACCTTTATTGAATATTTTGAATGAACATCATAAATTGTCAATGTTACGTAATGCAACGTGGACTCTTTCAAACTTTTGTAGAGGAAAAAACCCACAGCCGGAGTGGAATTTGGTAAAAATTTGAAAATTAATATTTTAGAATTATTTATTAAAATTATTTGCGCCAGAAATTAATTTTTATATATATATATATATTTTTTTTTTAGATTTCTCCCGCACTTCCTGTCCTTGCCAAGCTTATTTATTCCATTGACGACGAAGTTCTTATTGATGCATGTTGGGCAATTTCGTATTTATCGGATGGAAACAATGAAAAAATACAAGCTGTCATCGAGTCCGGTGTTTGTCGTCGATTAGTTGAGCTTTTAATGTAAGTTAATGTTTTATTATGTTTATGGATTTAATTTAATTTAATTTCATTTGATTGAGCTTTTAAATAAAAAAATTTCCAGGCATTCGTCGACTTCTGTTCAGACACCAGCTCTACGCTCTGTTGGGAACATCGTGACCGGTGACGACGTTCAAACTCAAGTCATTATTAACTGTGGAGCCCTCCCTGCTTTATTAAGTTTATTGTCTAGTCCAAAGGATGGTCTTCGTAAAGAAGCATGTTGGACCATATCTAATATTACTGCCGGAAATTGTGCTCAAATACAGGCTGTTATAGATGCCAACATTATACCTCCTCTCATCAATATTCTTCAACATGCTGACTTTAAGACTCGTAAGGAAGCATGTTGGGCGATCTCTAACGCAACATCTGGCGGATTAAACAAACCTGAACAGATAAAATATCTTGTCAGTCAAGGGTGCATTAAGCCTCTTTGTGATTTGTTAAATTGTATGGATAATAAAATAATTCAAGTCGCTTTGGATGGTCTTGACAATATCTTGAAGGTTGGAGATTTGGAAAAAGTTAATGGTGTTAATCAATTTTCAGTATACGTCGAAGAAGCTGGTGGTATGGAGAAGGTCCATAACTTGCAGGTTCATGATAACGTTGAAATTTACAAGAAGTCATATCATATAATCGACAAATACTTTGCTGAAGATGACGAAGAGGATCCAAATTTAGCCCCCGATACGGACATGAATTCTGGTGCATTTGTTTTTCAATCTGATATTAATTTACCTCATGGAGGATTTCATTTTAATGGTGGTACTCCTATGTAAAATTCTCTTTTATTGTAAGTTTAAATGATTGTAAAGATAACAATTCAATAGGCGTGTTTATTTCCCTTTTTTTCCCCCTTTTTATTGTAACTTTTACCCCTTTTTATTTCTTTGTTTTTTTTTAGATATTTTTTTTATATAAAGAACTGATCCCTATTGTTCCATATGTAATGCATATATGGAACGATAGGAATTAGTTCTTTATAAAGATGCAACGTGCGGCTTTTGGTTGCTTCATTGGACATTATACACAGACATTTCAAGCCGATATTACCCTTTTTTTTTCACATTCTTACACTTCACTTTTCTTCACTTTCTTCACTTTCTACACTTTCTACACTTTTTCATATTGCTTTTCATCACAACCCATGTTAATTTTTACCCTTTTTATTCCTTCTTTGTCCCTTTTTAATCCCAAAAATTTCAACGAATTCCTTTTTCAAATAAAATTTTTTTCAGATTTTTTGATATTATTTGATAAACTTTTATGTATGTTTACATGAATGGAATGTATTTTTTTTTTGATAATACAATTATGTGTAAAATCGCGCATTCAAAGAAACCAATATTATGGAAATATTGGAAATATTGATGACAACCCAATATTGTAAAATTGTATCAAAGGATACTATTAATTAATTGCAGCCTGCTATCAAAATTTATGGCTTCATTTCATGATGATTTATCTAAATTTACATATATAAAATAAATCTGTTTATATACATTTTATATAATTTTTATATATTTTATATATTTTTATATTTATCATTTAAAAAAAAAAAACGATGTTTAACTTATAAGAGTTAAAATGAAAGATTATTTATTCGTTTGTTCAAGTTTTATGAAAAGGTGAAAAATAAGTAATACATTCAAAACCTTTATTTCGGAAATTGGAAAACGCGCTCCAAAATTTTAACGTGATGTTATGATTATCGTGATTATCGTCAAATTTTATTGGTTGAACTTTTTTAGTAGTTAAAAATACATCTTTTTTTTTTTTTTTTTTTTCGCAAGTTTTTTCACCACTGTTTCTGATTATTACATTAAATATATTTCCATAAACAAAAAAGTAGAAATAATGTCCAGTCTTTCCACTAAATCGGGAAATCTCGAGTTCGACGAAGCTTCTCAAAAAGAACTCGCAAAATTTCTTGAAGGCGAGAACTCAAAAATGAGACTTCAACAATCGATCCATACCTTTACCGATCTTTGTTGGGATAAATGTGTCACTAAAATCAGTAACAAAATTGATCGTGGTGAAGAAACTTGTCTGACAAACTGTGTAGAGAGATTTTTGGATACTAGTTTGTTTATAGTAAAAAGATTAGAAGAAACACGAAACAAACTTTGAAGTCAATTTTTTATAATAATAAATGGTTTTTATTGAAAATTCGAATATTTTATTATTTTATTTAATTGTAATTATTTGAATAATTTCTTTTTAATAATCTCTCTGAATAATTATTTTAAATATTTTTTTAAATAGATTTCGCAAAAATTCAAAAACCATTAATACAATATAAATTCAAGATCAATTATATTAAATAAATGGTCTATTCTTTAATCGAGCTGAATATCTCCATGGTTTAAATTTGTTACGTAATTCATTTACAACGCCTCTAGGTAATGGTGATTTATTTGAAATCTTCCAAGTTAATCTTGACGCTACTTCTTTATCTGTATCAAAAACCGATTCTAAAAAAAAAGAAAAGAAAAGATTTGATAATTTATAATTGAAGAAGATAATTGTGAAAATAAAATAAGTGATATACTAACTTTCTTGATCCTCCCAAGGTTCCTTTGGTTTTGGCGGAAATGGGATTTCTTCATTTGTTCCACAAATTACGCGTCTCCAACGCATTTTCCCATTTCCATCTATATCTAATTTTCTCCAATTAACACGAACTCGCCTCCTTTGATAATCATCATTCAATATATTTCAATCCTAACAATTCAATTCTATAATTCTACAATTTAATTCTAAATTTCAACTCAAAAGGAATAGTTACTTACTTTTCTTTGTCAGGGATTGAATCTCTGTCAAAGGATATGAATGAGTTATCTTTTTTTGATGAGAAATTTTTTATAAAAAATTTCTTATTTCTCACATTTATATATATAAATATATATATATATTACTTACTCTTTTAAGTCATCTGGATGTATGTGCATAAGATTTGATACATGAATTGCTTTTAAAGACGGCCTCAACCACCAACCACCACTCTTTTCTTTATTTGGTTGTACTCCTTTGTTAAGTGGAAGTTCTAAAGATGGCGTTATCCTTCCCTAATGATAATAAATTGATTAATAATAATAATAATATTATTATTCGAGAATTTAAAGATATATAAAGATATATAAATTATTATAATTATTATATACATTACCACTTTTATGTTTTCTAACCAGACTCTATTGGTAAATTTATCTATTTCTTTTACTTTTCCTATTTTAAACTTATCGTCACCCGCAATAACTTTTACCTGTAAAAATCATCAATTAATTTTCATTAATTTGTATTAAAGTTATCGAATTATTTATCAAAAGTTGATGTTTTTCGATATTTCATACCGTATCTCCTTCCAAAATTTTCCATCTTTCAATTCTATCCTTTGGATGAACCCACTTTTTTTTACGAACATTAAGCCTTGTGGGAGTTTTTTTTTGCGTGAATTTGGACCATACTTCTCTTAACATATGAAGTGGTTTATTCGGCATTTTGATATATTTTCAAAGACAAAATAAATAAAATAAATGTTGAAATTCGAAAAAATTTTTAGATTATCACATTTGATTATATTATTTTTTATTTTTTTTTAATTATTATAATTGGGTGGATAACACATGATGACGACTAAAAAAAAATACTTATTAAAAAATTACCATTACTAACACTATTATTCATTACATTTTAACTTTTTTTAATTATTAAACTAGAAATAATAATAATATTCATAAATTGTCCCATTTTTCACAATTTATGGATTCTTTGTTTCTTAGTTGTGTGAAAATTGCCTACAAAAATCAGAAATTAAAAAAAATAGAAATTAAAAAATCAAGTTCAGATTAGATTAAATAGCTTGAATAAAAAAGATAATAAAATAAACCTTGGTAATTTCAGTTATTTTCTCATGTGAATTCTGAGTGATATTTGTCTTTTGAGTATATTTGATCACTTCACGGAGAAGGCAATCTAATATTGGAGGAGATACTTATATATTTTTTACGTGTGGGAGAAAGAATTTTAATATTAAATAATAATAATAGTAATAAAATAATAAAATAATAATAATTACTTGATTCCAGTGAATCATTTAAAAACGGATCTGTCAATAATGCTGGAATTGTCATGCGTTCCTTAGGATTCCTTTGTAGACAACTTTTCATAATTTTCAAAAGTTTTTCATCAACCGGAACAGTTTGAACATCAATATTTTGTTTTGACATTCTTTCATCTTGTGAATTATAATACTTGGTTATTAAACTCGTAGTGGGTGGAAAATCGATTTGATAGTTAAAATCAGTAATGCATTTGATCTTTTGTATCATTGATAAATGGGAAAATGGAGGTTTTCCATATACCATTTGATATAAAATGCAACCCAAAGACCAAACATCACTGGGGCGTCCTAGCTAAATAAAAAAAGAAAAAAGATTATATACAGATTTTATATACTTGCATTTAGAATTCAATAAATTACATTACAAATTATTTTAATCTCAAGAAAATGAACTCACCTTCATCAATTTTCGGCCTGCTCCGGAAGATGAATTTGTATCAAGAATAGCTTCAGGCGACATATAATTTATTGTACCAACCTTATAACATATAAGAAATCCTGAATTGGATTCGTTCAGAATAATAACTAAATAAATATTATATAAATAATATACAAATTATTTATTTCATACCTGTTGTTCTCGATGAATATTTGTTGTATCATTTGGTATAGTTTTAGCTATACCAAAATCAATTAATTTTAGATTATCCCCATTTACGATAAAGTTGGCTGGTTTTAAATCCGAATGAATGATTTTTTCTAAATGAATTGTATATACAGCTTCGAGCATCTGAAGAAAAATAAATTATTTTATCTTTATTTACAATTATTTCAACACAAATCAAACACAAATTAAACAATAATCATTACCTGTCTCCAATAAGATCGAATGAAATCTATTTTTATAGGTTTGTCGCTTTGATTATTTAGTAAATGTGCAAAATCGATATCTCCACATTCCATCAACTAAATAATTATAAAATTATTAAAAAAAAAAAAAAAAAATCGAAAAAAAATCAAGAGGATAATAATATGGACCATTAACAAATATCCTTGTTCGCGATTAATTTCAGAATCATATAACTTAATAATGCCTTTTCGTCCTGCCAGCTTTTTCAATAATTCAATTTCGCTTATATAGCCTGAAATGGCTTGTTGGTCTACCCCTCGAAAGGAAACCTTTTTTAAAGCATAAATTTGACCATTTGAATCAGAAACTTTATATACTTTACTACTTCCACCACGACCAATACGTTCTAAGATATTATACGATGTTTCATTCAGCTAGTAAAAAAATGATAAGATATATTTTTTTTTTTTTTAAATTTTTATAAAATGATAATAATAAATAATAAATACAATAAGTACCCATGCTCTATGATGTGGTTGTATTAGTAATTGATTTCCATGATTTTCACTTGTAGATTCTTTAATGAAATTCTTTTTATCATTTTCCTTCTGATAGATCAAGGAGTTACCTCGTAATTGACATTCTGGCCTATCATTCTTATCAATCTCTTTTATCTCGTTACTTGAATTAACATTAAATGATACACTCTTTTTAATTTTTTGTGGTAAAATTTGATCTTTTCTATCTAAGTGATTATCAATGTAAATTTGTTTTTTTTAGTACAATTGATTTTTTTTTTTTTAAGTTAAAATGTAGGTAAAGAATTTTGTATATTACCTGAGGTCTTCAAACGATATGGTTCCTCATTTACTTCATGTGACCTCTTTTCTTCTGGATCCTCGTTTATTTTAACTCTTTGAGGTGGTCCTGAAATGTAGTAGGAAATTGTATTGGCGTTGATCTTCAGATTAAACAATTTTTTTTTGATTTTTTTTTTTTTTTTTTTTTTTAGAATTAGTTAAAATTAGTTAAACATTATTAATAATTTTAATACCTAATTTTTTACCCAAATTCATAGTTTTTCGTTTAGGTCTAACAAATGAACCCGTCTTACTTTCAAACTGCAACCTTGAAAGTGAATGATAAGATTTGGAAAAAATTTCAATCAAAAAAAAAAATATTTACATTATATAATTTTATTTACTTTTCCGTAACCTTCGGAGTTGAAAAACAGCGAGCCACTGCGCTATCTACATTGGTATGTGAAGCTTCTAACTTTAGTAAATATCGATCTGTATCAAATATGGTCATATCATCTTTTAACGTCATTGCTGGTGTATTTAATCCCTTATTATTATTATTATTATTATTATTATTATTATTATTATTATTATATCAATTATTATTATTATTATTATTATTATTATATCAATTATTATTATTATTATTATTATATCAATTATTATCATTATTATTTATTATTATTATTATTATTTATTATTATTATTATTTTAATTATTATTTTTCATGATAGAGAAAAAAAATTTAATATTATTCAAATCATTTTTACATTAAACAACTTACATTAAAACTTGTATGTCTTGAAAAGTTTTTATTATTTGATAAGTGATCTTGTTCCGTAACCGTTTGATAGATGGATTGTAAAGTATTCAAATTATTTGAAGGAAATCGCAGTACCGAATTATCATTTACTTCAATTGAATCTAGACCAGAATCCTAAATTATTTACAAAATATATAATTAATTAAAGCAATTATATAAAATTATATATATATATATAAATCATATTTATTATAAACAAAATATAAATAATGTACAGTATAAATCAAATATAAATCAATATAAATAATATTTAAGTTATAATACAATACATAATGCATCTGTATAGTTTTTTCTCTAGATCTAAACACTTGCTTATTTGAATGTGGGATTTCATTTTCTGCTGATAAGAAAATTTGTCCAAGCTGTTCATTACTACTATTGGTGCTAACTTTATTCTGGGAGGACTCGCCACTTTCGTTAAGAATACGGGAGATAGAATAAGGGTCGCAGGAAACAGAAACGAATTGTTTACCACTTTCCGTGTTTGACAAGTCCGAAGTGTTACAAAACCCTGCCAAGTCCATTATAAAAATATTAAGAAATTCTACTACCAAAAGTGAAATGAAGTATAATCTGGTATTTGTGTAGGGATAGAATTACACTAAAGGTCGCGTGCGTTCTACTTCGTCTCAAAAACTTGTTACGCGTAGATTAAAAGTTACCCAAGTATCACCAGAGATCCAGATAATTTAACAGGCGATCATAAATACATCACGTGTGGAGCTCTTGTGAAAAAATGTATGTGACAAATATCAAGTGACAAATATGGTTTCCACATGCAAAAAAAATTCTGTCCTCAGGATATTTAATAAAAATCGATATTCAAACGGTGTGATAAATATTCTACCCTGACAAACCCCCTAACCCATGTATTTATGCACGTGGGGTGAAAGTATTTCTGGGTAGCTGTAGATCAAAATAATTATCACGTGCCTGTTAACAATAAGAAGTTCGTTCCTTTGACGATCACCCCAAATTATTAAATTAAAAAAATTAATTTGGACATAAATATCTTTTTGTATCTGATCAATTAACATGCGACATATTATTGTTATGGCCTGATGTCCTCGTGACATCCATCAAATAGGAGTACATCCCTTCTTTTCTCGTATAAGATCTAGGGAGATCTAGGGTGACATTTTTTCCGTTACACTTCTTCGAAGATTCGAAAAATGCAAATAATCTTTTAGTAAATTTTCTTGTACTACATAGGAAATATTCTAGAGATTATTAATGCATTCTTTGAGTAATAATCTCTTTTAAAGGAATAATCTCATTATTATTTATTATCTTTCTCGATCAACAACTTAGCCAAAAGGCGGTTATTTACGTAAATGAATAAAACCTATTTCATTTATTTTATTTTTTTTTTTTATATAAAAAAAAACAAACGATGCTATAAAGAGAATTCGAAGTAGTCATACGATTTAATACTTTTCATCATCAAATAAAATAATTTTACTTGAACATCCCTATTATTTAATCACACCTGGGAGGTACAATTTCCTAAAAAAGATTAAAAAAAAAAATGAGAGTTTAAATCATATCATCATTTTATTTATTCTTTTTTATTTATTACGTATTTATTACCAATTCTTGTTGCACCAAATTTTATAAAATTATGATGTATTGTTGGCTATATAATTCATGCCCCTCTTTTGCCTTCTCCTATTATTGAAAAAATACAGAACCTTTTTAAGATTTTTTAATGTCTTACCTTAAAAGTATTATATTTAATTAAATTATTAATTCAATATAAATAGCTCCAATTTTTCCGCTTAAAAAAAAAAACTTCGTTTAATTAATTATTATCGATTACTCAAAAAATTATCAAAATTCAATTTATTTGTGATATGCTATACAAAGAACAAAAAATGTCCGAAGTAACAAGAAACAGCAGCAAAGGTAAATTTTTTTGAAAGTTCAAAAAATATTCCCAATTTTTTATACTAATTATTTTTTTTATTTATTTATATATTTTAAATTCAAGTTTTAACAATGAATAAATTATTATCCAAATTCCATCTTCAACAATATTTACCATTATTTCAACAACATAACATTGACTTTAAAACTTTCTTAACATTAAATGGACAAGCTTTGCAATCTATTGGAATTATAAATGAAACTCACCGAAATATTTTAGTAATTTGTATTCAAAAATTTTCCGAATTATTAATCGCCAAAGCTGCTATAAATGACCCAACGTTATTAATCACAAACGACGATGAAACCAATCATTTAATTAATGTCGAAGATTCAACAGAAGATTATTATGAATCGGAAGATCAATCCGAGGATCAATCGGAAGATTTTGACGACGGAGCCACCATAGCTACAATGGAAGCAGTAACGAAAGTTATTAAAGATGAGGATTATGATATTGAATATAATGTTGATATGGTTAAACAACATGAAAATGATCACCCAATAGTGAAAATCATGGAAGCAGAACATTCTTCCGTAGAAGGTTCAGATCATGAGAGTAACGTTGTGCAAACGGAAATTGTGGAAAGTGACGTAATATATCAATCACCCGAAATACCTGAAGATTTTCCACCACCATATTCCTCCCAGACACAAGAATCAATAACTTCAACTATACCATCATCATCATCACCACCGCCACCACCACCACCACCATTAATCACAAATGATTCACGTATAAAAAAATCAATAAGTTTCTGGCGATTTCGAAGACAAAAAGATGATGATATATTAATTAATAAAATTTCACGTGACCACGAAAGGCATGAATTACCTTCTTATTATGAATCAATTAAAAATGATTCAAGTGAAGATGGGAAAGAAGAATTACCTTCTTATTCTTGTTCAGTAGGTAAAGTTGGTTACCTTATGAAAAAGAATGAAATGGTTGCCGAAGAACAAAAGGCTAATGATAGATCATGGAGGTAGTTATAATTATTTTTAGAATTATTCATTTTTTTTTTTTATGTTCTTCATTAATTTAAATTTTTATTTTTTATTCAGAAAAATTTATATTCACTTGCGGGGAACCTTCGTAAAAATATATAAAAACAAACCCAGTAAATATAATGTAAATAAAAATTAAATTAGTAAATTTTATTTAAATAAATTAAATAATTTTATTTTTATAAATTTTTAACTTATATAATTCTTTTCTTATTTTGTCAAATATATATATATACATATATATATAGAATTCGCCAATGAGTCAGTTCAGCATGTATGGAGCCAAAGTGACTCTTGCTTTGGATTACACGAAAAAACGTAATGTACTACGGATGCGACTACTTAATGGACGTTCCTATCTATTTCAAGCACCCGATCGTTGCGAATTTATTTCATGGGTTGAAAAATTACAATCTTCTGCAAATATTTCAACAACAATAGATGAACGAGAGATGCCAATGTTTATCACCTTACCTACCAGACGACGAAGAGGAGTATCACAACAACAATCAAGAACATGTTCAACGTTCAATGATAATAATCGAATCCATCATTCTCTAACTCAAATGACTGCTTCAGGATTAACGTATCAACATTTTAATGAATTAGCAAGAGAGTTTCAAGTCGTCCAAGTTGTGGATGTATTACCTCAACAACAATTATTGTGGTGAAAATTATACCTTTTATTTAAATCCATTAAGATTTTTTTTTTTTGTAAAATATTTTTTTAAAAAAAGAATTTCTTTAATCTATATATATATGTATATATGTTTTTATATGTAAAATTGTATTTATTTAATTTTATTCGCATTTAATTCTAAGCATTTTTATCTCAATTTAATAATCATATTTACTGTATTGAAGAAAACAAACAAAAAAATAAGCATTTATGAATTTTATATTAACAATTATCATAATGTATAATTTGTATACTATTATTTCATTTTTGAAAAATGATTTATTAAAACAAACAAAGAAATGATTTTAATGATAATAATTTTAAAATATAAATATATAGGGTAAATTGGCATAATTAGTTAATTAAGAATTCTAGGAATAATTTCATCTATTACAGCTAATCCTTTTTCTGTAGGTCTTAATCTTCCATCTTTCAATTCTTCTCTAAATTCAGATAATATATCATTTTCACTATTTTCATTTAATTCTAAAAAAAAGGGTTATTATTATTTGGTATTAATTACAACAGTAAGCATTTCCAAATTTAGTAAACTCAATAAAAATATAACTTACTATTATCCCATATCAAAAACCCATCTTGAACATAATTATTTACTTTTTCCATATTAAGGAACTTTAAGATTATAAAATGTTATTATTAAAACATTATTATTACTATTATTATTATTAATATAAATTTTAAGAAAATAAGAAAAAATACCTGTTCTAATTCTTGTTCATTATTAGAATATAATTTAAATCTTGAACAAGGAATTCCAATTTTTGTGCGTAATCCAAATAAAACTAATTCCTATTATTTTTTTTTATTACAAAAATAAAAATAAAGATGTATAGAGTTTACTTCAAGATTTCAGGGGATAATTTGAGTAATATATATTTAAAATTAACCTCTTTTATATCTTTCATGGACATTTGAGTAGATTTTCTAAGTCTATTGTTGAATATTTAAATTGTATGAATTTATTCTTATCAATTATTACAAATTTATAAATGTTATAAATATTATACCCATGTTTAATTTCTTCACATTGAGTCATCCATTCTTCTGGATGTAATATCTTTTAAAGAAAAAAAAAATTTTTTTTTTTTTTTATTGAATTTTTATCACATTTTACAATTAAATTGTTATTAATATTTTTTACTAACATTGTACGTTCTTATCCTGGTTCCAATTAATGGATCATAAATTCTTCCGTGAGCTCCTGGTCCAATACCTAATGATGATAATAATATGATAATGATAATAATATGACGATAATAATGATAATAATTATGATTAAATAAGAAATATCTCATAGGTCAAAGTTTATATAATATCAAAGTTTATACCAAGATAATCTAATCCACTCCAATATCCAAAATTATGTTTACTATATTTTCCCTTTCTTTCAAAGTTTGATACTTCATATTGTTCAAATCCAAATTCCTTTGTAACCTTTTTTCCAATAAAATAAAACAAAATAGTAAACACAAGAATAATAATATTAAATAAGATTAAAATAAGATTAAAAAATAATTTTAGATAATATTATTTCAAATTTTTACCAAAAAGAAAAAGAATATTTAACCTGAATGGTTGTTTCATACATGTCTGCCATAATATCTGAATTTGGTATTGTATATTTTCCTAATTTTACTTCATTATATATTCTGTAGAATATAAAAAAAAAAAAAATATATATATATATGGTTTTATTAAATTATTATTAAGATTATGATATTTGAAGAAAATAAAAAATTTCTTACGGTGTTCCAGCTTTTACAGTAAGTTCATATAATGAAATATGATCGGATGCCATTTCTAAAGCAGTCTTATGAATAGCAAAAAAAATAATACAGTAATTTTGAATGAATATATATATATATATATATAAAATAATAATATATATAAAATAATAATATGTATAATATACTCTTAACTCTTTTTTCCATTGTTCAATTTCTTGTCCCATTCTTCCAAAAATCAAATCAAAACTAACATTCTGATCACCAAAAATTCGTTTTGCCATCTCTAATGCTTTTATACCTTCATTTACGGAATGATCACGACCTAATAATTTTAAATCTTTTGAATTTAAGGATTGTAAACCAAGGGAAATTCTATTTATGCCTGTAGAAAGGAATTCAGTGAGAGTTGTGGATTCTGTAGACTGGTAAATATTTCTATTAATGTTTTTTATTTTTTAATATATAAATACACGAATATCTAAATTGATATAATATTTTACTCACGGTTGGATTTCCCTATTGAGTTATAAATTTAGTCAAGTAGATGAAATGTTTTATAATATATATATATATATATAATTACCTCCATTGTGATTTCAGCATCTATAGGCAAATAGCATTCTTGAGAAATAGTTTCAAGAATTTCATTGAATGTTGATGGCTTAAAATAATAAATTTAATTATAAAGATAAATAAAATAATAAAAAAAAGAAAAGAAAATAATGATTAATAATCACATACCAATGCTAAACCTAAATTCGCCAAAATAAAAAAAAATTGTGTTTAACAATTAATTTTTACGTAAATTAAAAATTAGATATTTAAATTATCTTACTTGGTGTGCCTCCTAATAATAATAATAATAATAATAAAATAATAATAATAAATAATAAAATAATGTAATAATAAAATAATAAAATAATAAAATATAATAAATAATTATAATAACAATAAATTATCACCTCCGAAATAAACACTATTAACTCTTCTTCCTTTCAATTCATACTTTTGTATAGAAAATTTAATCTCAGATAATAAAGAATTATTCATCCTTGTATGATTAGGTGCTGGATTCACATACTTGTTAAAATTACAATAAGTACATTTGCTATTATATTTATTATTAAATTATTATTAAAAAATAATATATAGATATAAATATTTAGATATAATATAAATATATATTTTAAATATTAAGATAAATAAAATAGATAAATCTAGATGTAAACCATTTAATTAAATTACTTTTACTTTTTCTTGTTTACAATTAAAAGGATTACAATACCTTTTACAATAAGGCCAATGAATATATATCATAAAAGGTTTTTTATCTGGCTGATTGTTTGTTTTTATTACAGGCATTTTTATTTGATGTAAAAATCTCTTTGTTTTATTTGCTTTTTTTTTTGATAAAAATAAAAAAGTAAATATAATTTTTAAATAAATTACAAAAACTTCTTTTTTTTTAAAAAAAATTACCAGAAAAAGATTTGAAGGTTTTTTTAAAAGATATTATTGGATTCATCTGTCGTGGACAATAATACATTACTTTTTGATTACTTTTGATAGATAATATCAATCAATTTTTGGAAGAAGAAAATTTTATAAAAGATTTTTTTTTTTGATTGATAAAAAAGGACATTAAAATCTAAAATTTTGATAATTTTTTTTTTTTTGATCATGCTCAATAAGAAATATTGTATATAATTTTACTAAGTATATTTATTTATATTATTGATATTATTGACTTATTTCACTATTTAATATACTTAAGTAACATGTCCATAAAATACCAACAGAACTAACAAAAGGTACTCTATATTTTAATGGTAAAAATCTAAAATTAATAAATTGTACTAATGGCCAAACTGTATAATTTGCTTTTAATGCTGGTAGATATGCCTAAAAAAATTTAATAATAAAAAATAAATAAATTAAAAAAATTTTTTTTTTTAAAAAAAAGGAATGTTTTAATATCATATAAAACATTTTAAAATACCTCATCAATTTTTCCTTTGATTTCATTAATATTTCGACCTTCCAATACACTAATTATAATAAAAAATGAACCTACTCCAACTGGCGCAAACATAATTTGATCCACTGCAACCCTCTTGATTACTGCATTCAGAGATTGTAAATTCATTCTCTTTAATTTATTCCAAAATCCATTTGTATTAATATGTTTAATAGAAGAAGAAACTTCAGTAGCAGCAGCAATTCCGGTAGAAACTCCAGCAGGCAAAGGAAATCTTTTATCCAAAAAACTATACCAAGTATGAATTACAGGTGCTATCATAAATCCATATAATGCGAACCTTCCAACTTGCATAAAATTAAAAGAATTATTATCTAAAGCTGTTTTTTTAATATCACCACCATCATGTTTTGGTGGGTGTGATGAATCTTTTTCCATATGTTTTTTGACATTATTATTATTATTATTGGATGATGATCTAAGTAAAGAGACTGATTGAGCTAAAATATCTGAAATTGAAGCGAGTATTCCATTTGTAACCGCTAATGTAGCGAAAGGACGACTTCGATAACAATTACTATAATAAAGATTTACGGAAGAAAAGATTTTTGACATTTTTTTTTTTTTTTTTAATAAAAAATTTTAAGACTTATTAAATACTGCTTATGGTTAGTATGACCAGAAACGCATATTGGCTGCGAATCTTACAATTCTCCTCCACTTCTCCACGGTTAAAAACTAACACAATATTATTCAATTATTCAAGTTATATCATCAATAGTGTCAGCCAACGAAAGAATATTTATTACAATTTCTTTAATAATAATAATTATAAATAATTAATAAAATATTCACAAAATCATTATTATTTATTTTACTAATAATAAAATATATTTACAATAATAAATACATAATTTATATTTATATATATATATATATATATAAGACAATCATATATTAAATATAATAATTAATATATTAATTATTATAATCAACATATTCTCCTTTAACTTCATATAATAAAGTTTTTTTATCGGCAAACGTTAAGAAATTTTCGTTTACCAATTCTGATAAAGAACGTTTCAATAGAACTGAGATTAGATCATCAGTCGGATCTTCGTAATACTGTTTTAAATGATAAAATTAATTAATTGAATAATTAGGTGATGAGATGATTATGATATTAATTAATAAAGAATTAAAAAAAAAAAAAAAGATTAATATAAAATAAATTTACCTGATGTCTTAATATATATTCGCAATAAGTAACAAATATCGGTTCCTGACTTATCCACGAAAGTCGAAAACTGGTCAAATTATTATCATAAATATAATTTACAATTGAATCGATGAGCACATCTTTCGTAATTTGAGATGCCTTCAAATTTAAATCTTTTCGTTTCTTCCTTCTATAAAATGTTTTTGGAATCGGTTGAAAATCTTTTATTTTCTTCCCTGGTCGAATGTTTTCATCATTTTCTTCATCATTATCATTATTTACACGTTTTCGTTTTTTATCATTTGAAAAAGGATTTTCATTTAGATCAATGGATGAAGTAGTAGCAACATTTTCTGACGATGACGAAGAAGATGGTGATGATGATGATGACGAAGACGAAGTAGAAGTTGAATTAGTGGTGGAGGCAAGTGGTCTAGATGATTTATCGGATTCAGTTGATAATCCGTAATTCGAAATTGGTTTCATGAATTTATTATTAAATGTAAGCTTTTGTTCCTATGATTAGAGATATAAAATGTAACCATATTTATATTACAATAATATTACAATTACAATCATATCACATTATTCCATATATTTACTTTATCAACATATTTATTCCATTCATCTTCAGGCACTACGAATGGTTTTGAATATACGTCTTGTACTAACGTCATAATCTCGGCCCATCTAAGGAGTTCCATATTTGGATCATCAACTTTCCCTATTTATTTATTTTATTTGTTTTTGATTATTATTATTATTATAAAATGATTATTATTATTGTGATTATGATTATTGTGATTATTATTATGAGCAATGATTAATGTGAGATAATTACATAAATCTTTGGGTTTATATTTAACTTGAATTTTTCCTCGATATTCGTTTATATTGCCTATTATTCGAATTAGATTTCCATGCTCGATTTGATGTTGTTTTATCCATTCGTCATGGATTTTTAGTGTTTCAAAGAACACGATGCACGGAATCGTGGCGCTCCCGTCATCAACTTTTAATTTAAAATATTGAATCAATTATTATTGGTTAATTTAATAATAATTTATGTAATAAAAGAAATCAATGACGAATAAATAATAATAATAATAGAAATAAACTAAAAGCTAAAAAAAACATACGGTAATATTTTATACAAAATACTTTTTTATCATATTTAATGATATCGTGTATCGATGATACGACTCCAATTACGTCAACACGATTTATTATGTGGTTTAAATAAAATATTCCTCGTTTGCCTATACATAAAATTAATGACAAATAATTTTCTTTTTCACGTTTAAATACTTTCTTGAAAAATAATATAAATTACTTTGATATAATATATAAATAAATATATAATAAATATATAATAAAATATATAAATATACCTCCAATTTCAACTACTTTGAGATTCGCGTAGTCTTTGAAAAATAATTTGACATTTGCGTTATAAGTTGGGTCTAATGTCCAGAATGCGGGTGGATAGAAATAATATGTGTTTAAATCGGAATGCGACGAAGACTTGGACTCAGAAGACGACATGGCTCAAGAAAAAAAATTGGAATTAATTTTCGTGTAATTAAATGAATGAGAGTAAAAAAGAGCGAAACTATTAAATATGAAAGGAGAGAATAAGTGCTCGAAACGAAAACTATCGAGGAAAACTTGTGTTGAATGATTGTGTGGGAAAAAAAAATTTATAAGTAAACAACAAATATATGATAGAATCACATGTAACATCTACTACAGATGGATGTTATTTGTTTTTCTACTCGAAAATTTATGTCTCTGATTCGATGTTTCGATGTTATTGTTTTGTAATAATATAATATTTAGAAATGTAATGCCCAATGATTTGTCCCGTTTCCAATTTAAGTGTATTTGGTTTATGTTTTGTGAATTTTTTTTTTTTTCGCGATAATGACTTTGAGACGTGTTTTGCTATTTTTAGTATCACTGTCTATTTGTGTAATTGTTTCTATTAATATTCTTTTCAGCATTTTTAATTTTAATGATATGTAAGGAAAGAAAAAACCACCGCGTGTTAATGGTATTTATGAAAAATGAAGAGCATACCCCCCCCAATAATATCCTCGGTTGGAACGATTAGAGGGTAGCTCTTTTATATTTCTCTTTCTGATTACCTTGGTTGCTGTTGTTTTAATGTTGTGAAAATTTGAACATTGTAATCATAAATTACGATCCAAAACAATTTTAGCTGTATACATAAATTATTAAAGTATTCTTTGGAATATGGAGAATTCTAGTAAAATTATTACATAGAGTTATAATATACAGTATTTGTTTTTGAAAATTTAATGAATAAATAGTTTTATATCAATAGTAATTAAGATTGACCAGCAATTGCTAATTCACGTTTTAAGGAATTATATTGAATAATTTTTTTCCATTTAGATAAATCCACTCCAAGTCTTCTACCCAATGTACCAACAGAAATTTCTAAATTTGTAGCAAGCTCTTGAAATTTATTTTCGGTTGGTTCAATTGAACTTACTCGAATTGCAATAATTAAAGCACGACGTAAATTTGTCGAAACCTATAAAAAAAAAACAGCAATAAAAACGTGTATTCTTGAAAAGATAATATCACATAATTATATACTCAATAACACATAATACTTACATCCATTAATGTTTGGGCATCACTTTTAATTAAAGGATTTCTTTCCATATTAAATATATCCACCAACACATCATACACGAATCCACTAAAAACCTAAAAAATTCGTTTTATTTTAAAATAAACATTTTTAATTTCAAATAAAACTTTACTTCAATAAAACAGTATAAACAATTACCAAAGATAGATTATGAATTTCATTTCCTGCTGTTGAACCTTTAAGATCATTTGATAAATTTCTTAATCCTTTTCCATGATTATCATATAGAAAATCTCCAAATTCTTCTCCAATTGCCGCCAAGAAATTATTAGCAGTTCGAAGAGATGATTTTGTGGTAGTTATTAATAAACTTACCATGTCATCCTAATAAACAAAAAATTTTTAAGAATTTTTTAATTATCAATATTTAGTGATTCGGTTCAACTTAAAAAATTTCAAGTCGTAGTTTAACGTTCAAAGTTGATTGGTTATTTATGATCATTTACCATGGAAAGGATAGTAAACATAGAACATAAATCTCCAAAAGCTTCATGAAGTGCACCAGTTTGTCCAGTAACCAACCAATTAGTCTGAAGTATATCTAAAAATGCGTGTCCAGTTTCGTGAGCAACCTTTAAATATAATTAATTAATTTAATACGATATACATTATTATGATAAATATATAACAGATAAATAAATTGTGTGATTGATTTTTTTTTTTTTGTGCTTACAATGTCAAGTGAACGACATAGATAAATAGGTTCGTCTTTTTTATTCTTAACATAATAAAATCTTATATTTGAATCAACTTTACTATAAAAAGCATTCGCTCCTTCATCCGCCATGTGGAATTATTGTCAATTTTCCATGATTACTCCATGGTCTTTCTAATTTTGGAGGTTTTCCATCAAGATATTCTATATCATTGAATAATAAATTAAATACCTGTAATAATTAAAATTAATTAAAATTAAATCAAAATTAAATCAAAATTAATCAAAATTAATCAAAATATATTATTCATATTCATTCATATCCCAATTATGTTCAAATATAATATTTACATATCGGCATATAGCAAAAGTATGAACGGCATCAAATTTTGCATGAGAAAGTGATGGTGGAATTGTTGATGGAATACTATCATCGAAATCAAGTAAAAAATCTCCATTCTCATCTGGAGAAATTGGTGGTATATTTGGTTCGATTTCAAACCATGAATCAGAAGGTCCATCCGTAATATCCGTAATGGGAAGGTAAAGTTCTCTTATTCCGATCTTTTTAACTGATGGGTCTGCTTTCCAAACTCGAAATCGTGCTCCTTTTCCTGGTGATGGTGGTTTCTTTGTAATTAAAGCTTGTGTCAATCGAGATGCTAAATAATGAACCGATCTAAAAAAAAAAAAATTAAATAAGAATTATATTATATTATTGATTTATATTAGTTTTAGAAGATTACTGTCATAAGTATCAAGAGTATATAAAAAAAAAAAAAAATTGCCGTGGCCAAATATTTTGTTCATAATCAAATAAAGTAAATGCTAAGTCCGTCTTGTTCTTTAAATCGCAATCAGCATAAACAGTCTGGTTATCAACGATAGAAGGATCATATCGTAAATATTTTCCATTATGCGCGATAATTGCTGCCTTTTCTGAAAAATCTAGATTTTTTTTTTGATTAAAAATTACGTTGGTTCCTATTTTTATTTTACTTTATTTTATTTTCTTTTTATTTTTTATTTCTTTTTATTTATATTTTATTTTTATTTTATTTTAAAATTTTATATAATTTATATGTTACCCGGATGAGGAACAAATAAGAAAAGCTGGTTAGGTTTGGGAATAATTCCAATTTTCGGAAATTCTTGACCTTTCTCGAAACCCAATGTACCATTTGATTGATCAGTTATAGTAACGAATTTGTTTTTATGATTTTTCCAGGCAACCAAAGGAATAGTAACTACATAAGTTAAATAAAATAAAATAAAAATTTTAAATTCTGTATAAAAAAAAAAAAAACAAATTCACATTTGTAAAAATTACCAAGTGTGAGATCTTTCAATATATTTGGGAATTCAATATCTACATTATTTCTTGTACTTCCAATTGAATAAGTATTTGTTTCGGGATTTTCAATAAGTAATAACGCGGATGGGGACCAATTGTTTTCAGGTCTTTAAAAAAAGATACAATGTAAATTTAAAATTTCTTTAAATTATCTGTTAAAAAAAAAAATGATTAAAAATTACTTTTTTTTTGTCTGGCCCAATTTTTCTGATTGGATTGTAAGATAGAACTCATATTTCTTGTTATATAGTGCATAGAATTTACCATAATTTTCTAGAAATCAAAATTAACCAAGTTATATTAGATTTTATCGAGAATCATATATATATATATAATCAAAAAGAATTTTATTCACCAATTCTCCAAAGTTGTGCAGAATTAGTAAAATCATAAATTTGTTTTTCAATCTTTCCATCATCATTGAAGATAAGAGCTTGTTTATAAAAATCTATGAATGCAAAATATCTATATACTTCTCCAATTTTAGCATCATTATTTTGCATGAATGAAGGTTTTTTATGTTTTGGATCAAAAGTAAAATGACAATGAACATCAAGTTCAGGAAGATTCCAATGAAATTTCACAAATTTTCCTGATAATGCAGTTTCGGGACCCCAAGGATTTTGTGGTGGATAAGGTTTATTACTACCTTTTAATAATTCAAATTTTGATCCAATTCTATGAAATTCATGTTGATCAAAAGAATTTTCTCTCGACCAACCATGTAATTGATCAAAATAATCTGAGATATATAATGGAAAGTTAATATGAATATCTCTAATTACATTTAAAGATGTAATTCCTCCTCCTCCCCCAGTCCAAGTTCCATGTCCAATTGTTGAAATAATATTAGCTATTTTAGTACCATAATTTTTTAATTTTTCTGGTGTTGTCTTTAATGTTATTGCTAAATTATGAGTTATATTATCAATCCAATCAGAAGAAACTTCAGGAATTTGAAATATTACGGATTCATCATGATTTCGTTCAAAATGGGTAAGAATTTTTTTTACATCTGCTTTATGAAGTTTGTGTGCTATACAATGAGGTATGGGTTCAAATAATCCTCCACGCATAACATCATTTGTAATATCATTTAATTGTGTATAAAGTTCTTTCAGTAAGGAAGAAGTAGTGGTCACATTTTTGCTATCATCTTTATTATCGTTATTTTTATCGTTATTTTTATCGTTATTATCGTTATTTTTATCGTTATTATCGTTATTTTTATCGTTATTATCGTTATCATCCTTTATATTATCATTATTGTTTTTATTGTTATTATCATTAATATCATCTTGATTATCCTTTTTATCATTATTAGATTTTTTAGAAAGAATTGTATTTCGAAAAAAATTGAGCATTTTTTTCTTGGATGACATTTCGATAATTTTAATTTATGATATACAGAATAAATAAAATAATATAAATAATAATATGTAATGAAATTAATGAAAAAAATGTTTTACAAGTGCGGGTGAAGAAGATAATAATTACAATAATAATTAGTTCTAACGAATACATTAAAACTTTGGATATATTTTTTTTTTTCGTGAAACTTTCAATTGCTATAAATGTTGTATAATCTACGAATTGCATAGGTTTCCATTTTTATTCCAAATTTTATTCCAAACTCCAGAAATCCATGTACAAATGAAATAAAAAACAGTTGGGATGGTTTGAATATTTTTCTTTATATTTTTCTTAATATTTTTCAAAGTTTTTTTCATACTTTTTTCATTTTGTTGAGCTTTCTCCACATCAAGATCACGGTTTTCACTAACATCACGATTTTCATGATGAAGAACTTCAACCTCTACAACATCATGTTTAGTACCACAACACATTATAAAGAATACTATAAAGAAGATCCAAGCCAACACGTAATCAACTAGCCTTGCATCACAGGCAAATTTTATATCTGAAGGAAGTTCGTGAGATGTACAAAATAATGGAACTTTTTTACTAATTTCAGGGTTATTTATAACAACATAAAAAGATAATGCGCCTTAATTAAAGTAATTAAAGTTATTAAAATAAATGAGTAAAATTATAAAATCTTTATAGAAATAAAAGACTCTTTGAAATATATTACATACCATATACTGTACACCACAGACATAAAATGGTACTATATATACATTTAAAATCATGATTACATTAGAAGATTTTTTTTTTTTTAAAAAAAAAAGAAAAAACAAATAAAACATCATACATACTAAAAATAACAACACATCTTTGTTGGATGCTTTTCGGGTTTATATTCTATTAAAATGTAAACTGTTTTTTTTTAAAAAAAAAAAAAAAAAAAAATTATTATTTTCATAATTCAACTTACGCGCTTAACAATAATACTTGATAATTAATAACTTACCAAACCAAAAAATTGATATACTTATTATTAATAGGTATCTGAATAAACAATAACAATAATTGAATTGATTAGCAAAATTTAATATAAAAAAAAAATAAAGAAAATTTAACAAGTAAATACATACGCAAAACCGTAAACAATACTTTGTGATTGAAGTCCGCCGGGGATTTCATATTTTTTATTCGCTTTTATGGCATTCAAGGCAATAAGTTTTGTAATTCCTAAAGCATTAGAATTAACAAATATATCAATATATATATATATTTATTTATATTTAAGAACAAATTTTTGATCGAAGAGTTTACCTGCCAAGGCACAGGCTAACAGGTAAAACACATAGAAAATTCGAAATAACAATAACATTATCAAATAAAAGAAGAAAGAAAAGAAAAGAAAATCGAAAAATTTATATATCAATTATTTTATTAATTAAACATTATTCACTCTAAGAAAGTTAAATGTGAGGTATGACTAAAGTGTACGTCCATGAGTAATTTTCCAAAAAAAGATTATCTTTTTTTTTCGATACATTTTTTTAACTATCAAAATAAGTAATAACCTTCCATTAAGATGTAAACAATTTACCCGTGATGTACGATTTTATTGAATGAATTTTACCAAAATGTTAGGGCGTAATCGGATATATTTTTTTTAGTATAAACGATCTAATCACCCAGTTTTAACAATGAATTAATTCTATTATTACGTTCTTTTTCGCGTCCTTTATTTGTATATAAAAGGTAGAGGAGAAGAGTAGTTCTCGCAGAATAATACAATATTTATTATTGTATACATTTTTTTTTTTTTCAAATATTAACACAATATTGTAATACACATATTTCTAGTAATTAATTCTTTTCCCAACTAATTAAATAATTAATTATAACTTTTAATAAATATAAAATATAAATAAAATTACAAAAATAGAAATAAAATAAAGAATAAAAAATTAAATTTATAACTATGTTTATGCTCTAACTGTGGCTAATGTACCTCTACAAATGGGACAAGAATGAATTTTATCCAAACATCCAGACATAACACAAGGCAGCCACATGAGTGGCCAGAATATACAACATAAAATACCTGCAAGAATATATGCAGTACTTCCAGGAGTTTCTGCAACAGTTGTAACAATATCATTACTACAATAAGGACAAGTTATTCTAACGGGAGATGGCGAAGTAATATTCACGAATTGAGGAGCTTGTTGCATGATAATGGTTTGAGAAGGTTGTTGTGTGTGTTGTGGTTGGTCAATATAAACAACTTGAGGCTGACTTGGTTCAGCATAACCTTGAGGAGGAACTCCACGAGAAGCATCATCTGTTATATATTGTGGTGGTGCTTGTTTTTGTGGTGGTTGATATTGTTGTTGTGGAGGTGGGGATTGGAATTGTTGGGAAGGAGGTGGCGGTTGAAATTGTGGTGGTTGTTGTTGATATTGTGGTTGTCCTTGTTGTGGTGGTGGTGGTTGCTGTGGTGGTGGTGGTGGTTGCTGTGGTGGCTGAAATTGTTGACCTGTTGACATGCTAGAAAAGGATTGTTGAGGATAAGGTGGAGGAGGACTTGCCGGAACGTTTGATTGTTGATTTTGTTTGTCGTCGGATGATGATAACATAAGTGGGGGATCTGTTTTTTGCGAAGTACTCATTAGAATTAAAAAATTTAAATCTCTAAATAAAATTATATTAATAAATATTAGTATTTTGAAAAAAAAAAATGAGAAATGAAATATGTATGGCTTTTTTTATTATCCTGAAATACTTGCAATATCACGAAACAGAAAGTTGAGAAAAAAGGATATATTACTTATAGTCTCTGTAAACGATATTTAATTTTAAAAAAAGGATAAAGTAGTAAGTAAACAAAATTTTAGTTAAAAAGAGTATGAATTTATCCTTAAAAAAAAAAGGCATTTCAATGAGATCTGGAGTACAAAAATTAATTTTTCGTTGTACAATCCCTGCTTGTCCTCCAAATATGAATTGCATATATTTTTTCAAGAAAACGAAAAAAAAAAGGTGAAGATTTATACATTTTCTCTGAAATTTGTGTTCTTTTGTTATTTTATTAATATTGCTTTAATTAAAATTTATTTTTAAACGTTAGAAATTATCTTTGAAAAAAATGTTACTATACTATCTACTATCTATAATTGATAGGTGGCACATCCAAAGAATATTCTATAGAAATTAAAAATAAATTTTTGTGTATCTTGTACAGTACAGTGATTATCAAAATCCAAAAATTTTAGATAAAATTTAAAGGATAATTAATTCATGTTTCATATAAGAACTGATCAATTGTTTATAATAGGAAAATGGGCAATTCCTGATTTTTTTTATTAAGTTATTTGGCTAATTTTATTATGCAAGAAAAAATGTTTTTGGATTCTTGTCTTGCTAATAAATCTTATATTTTACATTTAATTAATGAAATGTCCAGTTCTTAAATTTATTAACGAACGAAAATTATATTTGCTCTCCTTTTAAATAACAATTTTAATGTCAACACAAAAGAAATTACAAATGTCCAAGTAACAAACCAACATAAAGTTATGCTGGTTAAATAAATTCTACAAGTTCTTTTCTCGAGTAATAATGGTCTGTTACAATTACTTAATTTTGGCATGAATGACAAAATAGAATTTATTGAGCCTTTAATATATATATATATATAATACATATATTATTATTATTTTATTATAGAAAATAAATAATTTTTGAACAAAAAAAATATAGTTGTTTCTTACTGTTATGAACCATGCTATGAAGAATGTGCTATAAAAAATTACAATATCTTTTAATTTACATGAGTAAATATTTTTTTCAAAATATTTCACTGAAAAAGAGAAAAAAAAATCACCCACCAGTCCACAAATGCATTATGTAATAAAAATCGATCACTCCATCGATGCTCAATATAAAATAAGTTAATTTTTAAAGGAAATTTGAATTAAAGTTTATTTTAATTAAAGTTCTAGAAAATATACATATACGCATTTATAGTGGATTACCTATTTTTACAAGAGTTACTATTATTACAAAAAAATAGAATGCTTGACTTGACAACGATCTGTGTACAAAAAAAAAATTATTTCAATAATGAAGTAAAATAAAGAAATCAAATATACAATTTTTACCTTTTGCGAACATCAAAAGGTTCATCGAAATCATCATTTGATATTGTCTGGGGAATCGCTAAAAAAAAAAAAAAAAATTCACAAAAAATCAAGTCAAAAAAAAAGTACATGATAACATTAGAAGTTTATTCAAAAAGTACCCAGTCCAACACTGGAATACAACAAAAAATAATTGAAATCTCCAATTAAGAAGTAAAATTTTCATATCAAAATTTAGACATGCACATAAGTTATTTTTATATAATTATGCATAATAATGAATTTTCCCAATATGAGAGAATTACATCACGTTAAAATGTAAAACAGATATTAAGATAACACATCAAAGACATATGGATAATGCGGGTACATAAAATATAACCTTCGGTGGATCCAAAATTTACAAATGCAATTCATGTGATTTTTAAGATTGATAGGGGTCATAACGGAACAAGAAACATCTTACTCAAACACCTGAGTCAGGGAAACCTGGCGTTGTGGCCTACCACGCTCAACCCGTAAAAAGGTTGTTCTATAAACCAAATACTAACGGTATCTTTTATCGCGAATGTTTGGGAGATATCAAGATAAAGTTTTAGCAATTTTCATTTATGGAAAATTCAATGATTATTCTAGATTACTATTTTGATAAAGAATATTTTCTTCCGCAAATTCAATAATTATTCTAGATTACTGTTTAAGCTTACTTTTTTTCACTTTTTTTCAATTTACATTGACAATTTGGTAAATGTGAAGAAAATTTTATTGTGGCTTAGTTCTTAATTGTTACATATAAAAAGAATTAGGGCGGTGCTTTAATGTGTATTACCAAATTAAGCTATCACCATGAACGTTGTGCAAAGATTATCAACCCTTATTTGCTTTAACTGTCAATTAAAATAAAAGGCTTAAACAATAACGCGTATAACGAAATATTTATTTTGATATATTACATCTTATTCTTTGTTTTGGCATTCTTTGACTTATTTGCATAAATTTTCTGCTTAATGAATCTTAGATATTTCGGGACGTATCTTTAAAGTTAAAACCATATACATATATTTTCGTTAATGTTTCATATTAGTTTTACTAATCCATCAAGATTTTCAATATGTTTCACACTTATCAGGGATTTAATTGACAAATAATAGTGGATTCTCAGAAATATCAGAGATGATAGGACTACTACCCGAAGAAGAAGATGAAGCTGGGTTGTCAAGGCAAGTGCCAAGTTGAGGATAATAAAGAATATTATCATCGTAGAGGCAATAATAATTATATTCAATTTGATTGTGATCCGAATCTGGGTAAACTTCATTAAACTCATAGATGTTATTATCACAAAATTGAATATTGTTTGAAAATTCTTTATTGATTTCTGGGAATTTGGAAGAAGGTGATGAAGAAAATTTTGATTGATCACTATCTGATTGCGAAAAAGAATTATTAATTGAAAAATCGAGAGTAGTCACGAGATTTGCACCAGCGTCAAAGTTGATAAAAGTGTTATCAGTACGAGATTTACGATCATTTTTCCCATTTTGTTTGTTTCTTTTTCTTCGAGATTTTTCATGAATGTCCTCATAAACCAAATTCTTATTTCTTATATTGTTTAATTCTATTTCAACTTCTTTAGCAATGTTTTCGTAGACCAGCTTGATTTCTGACTTTTCACATTTCCAATGATGACTAACTAATCTTGAGACATCCGTCATTTTCAACTTATGACTTAATTTTGAAAGATGATCGACAAATGCCTTACGATAAACAAAAAAAGCATTCGGGCTTTTTTGACAAATTTTTGAACGAATTCTTTTGTGTGCGATTTCAGAAGCGCTAAGGACCGGAGGAAAGGGTAAATTTATACTTAGTAAATCTGTTGGTAAAGGTGAAGTAGTAGTAGAAATCGTATGAGGTTTGGTTGGCTTATTTGTTAAATGAAATTTATGTAAATGTTGAAAATGTTGTGTATTACTATTGATATTTAACTGGGAGTTGTACATTTTGATTAATAAAATTTTCCAATACGAAAGGAGAAAAATAAAAGATTCGATTAGATTTATTGAAGTGTTGGAAAAGGCGAATACACTCCAACGACAGGAGATGGAACTATGAAATATATATATCTTTTCAAACTTACCACAATCGGCTTACAAACGCAAATTATTGTTTAAATCCTAATTTGACCAATTCATGCAATAAAGTTTATTGACTCTGCAAGCTCCTAAGATTGTACAAACGAATTAGGTCTTAGACAATGGATTATTTAATTGGGAATCCACAATCGTTTAACAAATAATTGCATGACCTAAAGGAGTTATCTGAACTTTTCAGATTTTTATGAAAAATCTCCTGAATCAGAAATTGCTTATATTCTTTATCATTGTTCGTTATTTAATAGTTGCATAATTCTATTTATGTTACAAAAAACAATTTAAGACTTTATTATTAATTAGTCTTAGCGTCCAGGGGAAATATAAACACGCACTGTTGTCTCGCGTCATTTATTTTTTGTACAATAAATCAAATAAAAAATAGAAGCTGAAAATACCGAAATATTAGCTATAATCGTAACTGATGCATTGGTAACTGACTTATTAGTAACTGCATTAGGTATTCTGAAATGAAAATTTAGCTATGAGGGCTTAGATATAACGCCACAAATGTGTAACAATTTTCTTTGGATGCTGACAGTTTGTTTTCTAAAATTAGAAGAAAATATAATTATTCATAATTATTCACGTGATATATTCCTGGATTATACCGAACAACCTTATTTTTTTAACAACGAATTATGGCAAGATTAATTCCGTAAAGAACAATATAAGAAAAAACATAATCTTAGCTACTTATTAATTAAATTTTATTAAAATACGAGGGATCATCATAAGACAAAGATAATAATAATGATATTGTAATTATTGTAATGGTGAACAAATTTGGATAATAAAAAACCAAATTTTCCTATTCATGCCTATCATGTGATTTTTTGAAGAATTTAAAAAAAATGTTTCGCCTGTTAAGTAATTTTTTGAGTTTTAAATTTTTCGAATTCAATGTCTCTTGTTCCTTTTTTTTTTTGTTTCCATTCTTTTGTTCCATGTTCTTTCTTGTTTCTCGTTCATTGTTCCATTTTTTTTTTTTGCATGTTTCTTGCTTGTGTAAGAAATAAAATTACAATAATAGGACAAGAAACAATCCAATCCAAAATAAAAATCTTAAAGTATTTTAAAAGAAAACAAATTAATAAATTTTACCATAGTTTTCTATTTAAAAACAGTGTAAACATGATTATAATCAGTAGGAAAAATTTTGAGACGGAATTTCTTAAAATAAAAATATCAGATATAGGAAGCAATATATTCAACATGTCGTAAATACCGAAATAAGATTTACACAAATTTAAAATTTAAAGTTTATTTAAGATCAAAAGGAAAATAAAAATCATTTCTAAAATATTCAAATAAAACAAATCAACTTTTTAAAAAGGGTAGCACGCATTCTGAATTAATATTTTTATCCAAATTACTACTTATTTCGAAGACTTGGCCATCAGAGATTGAAAATTTTATATGAAAATTGTATTCCTATGAAAGAATTTATTAAATTTGTGAAACTCATGAGTTCACGCTCCTTTCCAAAATAGATAAATAAGTTCTAATTTTCTTCACGGCTTAACCTCGTGACTTTATACGTATCTCCCTTGCGTCTACATTGAACACTTTCCAGAACATTCTTCAGAACATTTTGGCAAAACATTTTATACCTAACTATGGATGTATGCATTTTATACAAACAATTGGATTAAAAATAATTACCAAAGGAAGGTGTAATGTTAATGCAGATCAGCCTAGCAGCAAGAATTAGTAATGCTGTTAAATAGCAAGCAATTCTAATTAGAGTTGTTTATGCATATATACATGATATATATTTATATTTATATTTAAAGCACGCAATGATAATTAGTAAAAATTAATTTCGCGCGCTAATAAATAGTCAATGAAATTTTCATTTTAATTATTTCATGATAGATTTTTTTTGTGTTTGGATTTACAATCTTAAAACATCAATTTTTTTTTAATTAAAAACGCAGGGCGACGCATATATGAATTCTTGTTATTGTGATCAAAAAAAAAAGAATTGAAATGCAATAAAATACAATATTCACTTTATTTTTTATGATTTTTAAGAATGTTCGTTCTAAATATTAAATAAATTAAAGGAATACTCTATATATTAGATCAGGATATTTGAAGATTTAATCAATTCTTGTCTGCATCCATATTTTTTTTCGACCATGTTTTTGATATCGTGATTCGTAATAAGTTCGCAAATATTTACATAATATTATTAATATTATTCATCCTTTATTCCATCGATAGTAATTAATAATAGTAATCAATTTTGCCCTTCCCGTATCACAAATATGATTTCTTATGATTTCTTAGTTAAAGCCAAAAAATATATATATATATTTTTGTGTGACCACGCTAACATTTTGGAACTTAATTTTGAATATAAGAATTACTTTAATCATTGTACGTGCACAGAAAAAAATTGGCAATAAAAAAAAAGGAGCTTTGGCGACTATTTAGCGTACATATCCGTATATATGGATATCAGAATGTAAAGAATAATGGTATAATTTCCGAAGAGAAAAAAAAAAAGTATTATAAAGGAATTTAGATTATAAATAAGGGGTCATTTATCAGAATAAAATTTTCCCGCCAACCACTGATTTAACTCTATTTACTAAATTAACTATTTATTTAACTTATTAACACTAATTAGTATAACTCTACTAATCCAGTTTCACTTTATTAATTTGACTTTACTAATTTGATCTACTGGAATTTTTAACAAAAATAATTTAACTTTTATCATATCATTTGAGAATGACTAAACCATTATAAGAGATGATCATGTGTTTACACCAGAAAATGCAGAATTATTTTAAATTATCTTTACAAGACCTGTGTAAGTCATTTTTAAAACGTAATAACAACAACAAACATTTATAACAACAAACAGAATATAATAAAGTTATTTGATATATTTATTGGTTCATTAATTTAAGTATGTAATAATTTCTCAATTTATAAATAAAAATATTAATAAATTTTAATAAATATTTAAAACTATATAAAGGTGAAAAGGAAACTAATATATATCTCTAGAATAACGATTATATTGTATTCCTTAAATTATGGTTGCGATTGTTGTCACAGTAATAATTATGGTCGTAATCGAGGTTGTAATTGTTAATAATTTTGAGTCCTTCTCAACAAATAAAAAGAATGAGTTGAAATATCTTTGCATATTATTTTTACAAAGTTCGAATAAATAAATAAAAAAATAAGCAAATAAGAGAAATAAAAATAAAGCTTTACACTAAAGAAGTAATTAATTTTTGATTTCTATTTATAGGAAAAATATTATATAAAAAAATAAATTATTATTTACTTAATAATTCTTTATGGGAAAAATATAAATTGTTAAGAACTTTCCATTTTATCATAATCAAGTTATATAATATAACATGTATGTATAATATAACATGTATAATATAATGTATTTCCTTTCCTAGATTATATTATATAATAATATATATAAATAATATATATAATATATATAATATGATATTATATAATATATTTTAATATCCGATTAAAAAGAATAAAAAAGATGAAAGAAATGGCTAAATTTGAGATAAGAAGTAGATTATATAATTGAAAATGGTACCGAAACAGGTTATTTGAATAAATTATCATCTGATAGGGAACGTAAAAAAGAAAACTTTCTTTTGAAAAAAAAAAAAAAGAAATCTGATTGGGAGATAAATAAGAAATTTTTTAAGTATTAGATAATTTACCTTTTAAAATTCCTCATGATTTATTGATTTATTTGGAACCAATATTTATAAAGTTAACTCAAGAAAAAAAAAGATCGATATAATAAATAAAATATATAATAATTTAACACACATAATAAATAAAACGCAAAATAAAACATATAATAAATAAATATAATAAATAAAAAAATATATATATATAATAAATAAAAATATATATATATATAATAAATAAAATATATAGTGACGTTTTTTACCGTGTAATCATTCACAAAAAAAATAAAATATAAATACTCGTTGAATTTAATTTTCAAGTTCTAGCTACCTGAACTAGCTGAACTACTTATCTTTTCATTTTTGTTGTGTACAATTTTCTCCTCAATTATTTTTTTCTCCAGGTCCTTTTTTTTTTAAAGATAAAAAACTACTCTTAATTTGGTTCACTGGTACTGCGGTAGCTCTATTAACATACATATATATTAACTATATATTACAGTTTAATTAGTTTAATTAATATTTCCTTTTCCAATATATAATAATCTTAAGACAAATGATTTATTTCTAAACAACAAATAATATTTTCATTACGATACAACTCAAAATCAAAACTTTATTGTAATCAAATATAAGAAAGATGGAATTAAAAGAGACATCATATTCTTTGAGAATATTTCAATTTGTTGTAGCTTTTTTGATTCTTTTATTAGGTAAAGCTATTTTTTTGATAAGATTTTCTAAATATATCTATAAATATTTATAATTTATTTAAACTGGTTCTTTGCTAACATTTACTTTTTATTAATGATGATAAAAAAAAACCAGAATTTATTGCAGCTATAGGATTCAAAGCTAACTACTACGATAAACCGTAAGTTTTTTTTTTTCTGATCCAAGTTTTTTTTGCTTCTATAAAAAAAAAAATAATTTCAAATTAATTTTTTTTTGTTTCTGTTTTTAGAACTCATGGATTACACTTTTTGTATTGGGTAACTTTAATAACACAAAATTTATACATGCGTAAGGATTATTTGTACATTTAAGATAATTAAGAGATAATAAATAATAATCCAAAGATTAATAATTTTATTATTATTATATATATTTCTAGTCCATTTAATTATCCGATTTAGACCTCAATGGAAATCCGGAAACCATATTTATAAAGTAATTAGTGACTGGTATGTTTTTTTTTTTTTTATCTTTGTATTTTCAAAAAAAAAAAAAAAATTCTTTTGAGTTAATATTATATATTAATTCTATTTTATTCTATTTTTATTGAAAATTCGGGATATAACAGTATTACTCTTTTCACTTGGTTATCTTTATGTAAGTTTCAATTTAAAAAAAAAAAAAATCATGAATTTATCCAATTCCTCGTTAATATTGTTGTTGTTTTTAATCCATCTTTTATTTATTATTAGGCTTATTAAATATTTCCCCGGCATTACATAATGAAAAACTTGATTGTGGTGACAAATCAGGCTCATCTCTCACTCGTTGTCGATTATTTTTAACAAATCTCTCTTTGGGATGGATATTAATTCCTACTTTTATAGGTTCATTATTTATTTCAATTTATCGATGGAAAAATAATGAATCAATTACATCATCAATACCTATGAATAAAGTGAATAATAGTCATATTCCAAAAACGTCCAGACCACTTTCCTACTCTGTGCAAAAAGGAGTTTTGGATGGTCAACCTGTTTTGATTTTTAATGATAAAAGAAATAGTTTTTATAATAGTTCGACTAATACGAGAACACCTTCTTATCCTGATAATACTTACCACTCTGGTTCTAGTCCAGATCTTATAAATGATTCTTTCGAACACCCAGCACGTGATTATAATTCGAAAAGTTGAATTTATTATAGTTTTATAGTTTTTATTGACTCAAAAAAATTAAATAATTAAAAGTTTTAAAAAAAATTAATATTAATAATATAAAAAAAATGATAATAATAATAAATATATATATAAAAAAAAAAAGAAAATAATGATAACAACAAAGTATATAGTCTCCCCTTTTAATATTATTTATTTTATTTTATTTTTTTCTTCCTTTTTTCGCAAAACCTGAATGTACAATTATAACTATTATAACTATTATAACTATTATATATATTATTTAGTACATTTTCAGTAATGTTTTTGTAAATGTAATTTTGATGTTATGTGGGTTACTGGTTACTTTTTTTTTTATCTATTACTTTTAAATTGAGCTTTATCAGTTATTGTTATTTTTTTTTTATTATCAAGTAATTATTATTATTATTATTATTATTTTGAAAACTTTGAATAAATAATGAGATATATTTTTCTTTGTGCGAATAAATATGTAAATAATAATTTCGGTTTAATATTCTTATGTTTATTGCAAGTTTACAAATTGGTGTATCAAATTTAAATTTTCTCGTCGATCTCGTTTCGAATAACTAAGTAAAGTTAAATAAAATAAAGATTTAATAAAAGATTTCCAAATTTAGTTTATTTTAAATTTATATATATATATCTTCTATTCCGCGAGAATAATATTTTTCATTCTTTGTTATTCTTCTCGTCATTCTTTATTTTCATTCTTTCTTTATTGTCATTTCTTTTATTTATCGTCATTTTTTACAATTGCCTTAGAAAATTCCTTGCGTTTAATAGTCATAACAACACAGTGGAGAACTGTAGATAACCGCGCGTGGATAATAATAAATACAAAAAATGAATTCAAATTTAGATAAATTATTCGGGATTTTCAACAAATTTATTTATTTTATTTCGTGTTCTGATTTTCAAAGATGGTACAGAATTATTCAACTACTTTTAATACTTGTGATAACAATTTTAGGTAAGAAGAATAAATTCGATCGTTTGATTCATTAACTTAAATTTGCATTTAGGAAAAAAAAATATATTTTGATTATTTTTTATTATATTTATTATAACACAAATAGAATTATCACAGATATCTATATATCGTACTTTTTTAGTTCTATCTGAAAAAGACGGATATCAAGTTCCAGGGTATTTCAGTTTAGATTCGTAAGTTAATTAATATATTATTAACAATAATAATATTTTAATCTAATAAATTTTATCTAATTATAATTTTATCATTAGATCTTCGCTATTTGGTGTAAAGTCTTTTGTTTTATTTTCATGTTCTTCAACCTTATTGTTCATAAGTAAGACGTTTTTTTCAATTTTTATTTTCAATTCCTTTAAACGTTTATTATTTATTTATTAAAATTAAATTCATTCCCCAAGGTATTTACGTCGGTCTATTCAAGGATATTTGGGAAAAAGAAAATTTAAAGAAATTCCTTTTTATAATTGATATGTGAGTATAACCAATAATAAACTATATAAATATTTATGGTATATTTATTTATATAAATATATATATATATATTAATATTTTAATATTTGTGATTTTGTTTTATTTTAGCATGATGGTCATATTATGGTTCACAACCTGTAAGTTATATAATATCTTATATTTTAAAATTTTATATTAATTTTCGTTGACTTAATTATTATTATTCTACTTATCACAATTTCTATTATAATAGTGCTTGCAAGTTATCTTCCACCAAAACTCAGTTCGGTAGAAGGTGAAATATTTTGTGTATCTAAAATCGAAAAAATTGACCCAGAATCTGATGCAAGATCTGATGCGAGAGAATTATGTAACACATATTTTATTAGTATGAGTTTGGGATTGATTCTTTTCTCAACTTTCATTTTATCTACTATATTTTCATGGTTGCTTCATAAAAATGACGGAATGCAAAGAATAAAATCATTGGAATAGCCAATTCATTCTTCTTTCTTCTTTCTTCTCGATTAACATAACCTCATTTCCCAAATTTCAACAATAATGTTAATAGATTTCATTCGCAATTAGATAACAGTTAAAATAGAATTTTTTTTTTTATATTTATAATAAACCAGAATTTTTATTTTATCATGAAATTCTTTTGATGCATTTACGTTTCAGCATATTCAAGAAGTTAACGCGTTAATGCTTATTTTTATTGTACCGGACAGTTGAAATTTTTTAAAAAAATTTAAAATTGTGCCACAATGAGTGATCTAAATTGCACAAACTTTTTTTTATTAGATTCCCCCTAAATCAGGGCTATCACATGATATATTTTTTGTTACCCACACATAGAGAATTACACTTCAAATAAACAATAAATTTAATCTTTAATCGTTGTCCGTACTGGAATCGATGGATTTTAAAGATAGATACTAACTATCTTATATGGAATTGTGGCCATAAACAATATCTATAATTTTAATTAGAATTTTTTTTCATAGTATCTAGTGAAAATTTAGATTTTATTTAGACGAGAATAAAAACGACCGAAATTTATAAAAATTTAAAAAAAATAAAAAAAAGTCTGAAAATAATTATCAATCGTTTTATATATAAAGTTTTTTATTTAATAAAGTAGTAATAAAATTAACACTAAATAACATTAAAGCTTAGAAAATGTAGCATCTTTTCTGAAGTATTCATGAATATTTAATCAAAATTGAACGAATGATGAGCGATTAAATTCCAGAGAATAATTTTTAGACATCCGATATTCAGTCGTTGATATTAAATTTAATTCGCAAGAAAAAATTCTAAAAACTTCATCAACGATTCTCCATATTCTTAGTTATAAGATTAACTAGTAACATATTTGCTTTTTTTTTTTATTAAATTATGAATATTTATATGTAGTAACGTTTGATAGTTATTTTTTTGAATTCAACGGTAAAATGATCGCATATTTAATTAAAATTGAACGAATGATGAGTGATTAAATTCCAGAGAATAATTTTTAGACGTCCGATATTCAGTCGTTGATATTAAATTTAATTCGTAATTTAAAATTCTAAAAACTTTACAAATGATGTTCCACATTCATGGTTATAAGATTAATTAGTAAAATATTTGTCATTTATTAATAAATAATGGACTTTAATATGTAGTAACGTTCGATAATTATTTAATATCAAAGATCAGCTTTAATGTTAATTAGTATTAAATTTTATTACTACTTTATTAAATCAAAAACATTTATATATAGAAACGATTGATAATTATTTTCGGATTTTTTTTATTTTTTTAAAATTTTTATAAATTTCGGTCGTTTTTATTCTCGTCTAAATAAAATCTAAATTTTCACTAGATACTATGAAAAACGCTTCTAATTAAAATTATAGATATTGTTTCTGGCTACAATTCCATATAAGATAGTTGGCATTTATCTTTAAAATCCATCGATTCCGGTACGGACAACGATTAAAGATTAAATTTATTGTTTTTTGCCAATTAATTTTATTAACAAAAAAATATATCATATGATCTAATAAAGAAAAGTTTGTGCAATTTAGATCACTCATTGTGGCACGAATGGCATTTTAAAATTTTCAACTGTCTGGTGACTTTTGACCACCCACTGTACCGTTAAAAAGTATCAACAGGTTCAAGCTCAATTATGCTCTCGTATAATTCTAATCAAGTTCTAGTCTAGAACATCTAGATTTCTGTTTTAATCATAAATTATTATTTCAGAAAACTATTTAATTTTGTTCTCAGAAAATTTATTAATAATACTAAAGATAATGTAAATAGAATAAAAAATGATAAATAATAAAAAGTAACAAATTTAAAAATTTAAAGAAAATGAGAAAAATATGACATTTAAATTTGACAAAGGAAATTAAAAAAAGATACAAAGCAAACAAACGAACGATTGATTAAAAGTTAAGCGACAATAAGTGATCTTGAATTATAAATCTTGTTAGGATTTTTGGCATCAACAATTTGAAGTTGCAACATAGAAATCTGTTTTTGAGTAACAGGATCAAGAGCTTGAATTTTGTTGAAGAAAGGTATGAATGTTGAAAATCGTTTGTTTTTCTTGGTAGGAAGTTTGATTGGTTCAATTGATTTGGTAATTAATCTACGTGGTTTAATAACATTTGAAACTTCAACCTTGCGAGGAGCTGGTGGGAATGCTTCTTCATGAGTTATAATGTTTTCAATAGTTATAGGTTTCGATAAGTTTATGTCGGGTGCTCTACCCATATTAATTTTTACTTTAAGTTTATGCATCACCGTCAAATAAGTTGTTTCCACACTATAAGTCAAATTTCTAAAATGTGGAATATTAAGTTTAACTTCAACTGATATTTCATTATTATCGGGACTATCTGTCATCGAAATAGAATTACCCAAAATACTTTCTTGTGATATGTATTTCTTTGTCGATGTTTCATATTTGTTTGTTCGAAATTCATGATATTCTTTAATTCCCACCATTATTTTTTTGAGGTAAACTTGTGGTTCGCGAAATTTCAACTTTACTGGAACAATTATAGTGCCTCCAGGGCTGAAAGTTGTATTACTTAATGCTACTTCATAACCTACAATATGAGATATGGCTGGTCCTTCATCATTGGCAAGCCATTTGGAAGGATTTGGTGGAGGAGTAATTGTGTAACGAGAAATAGGAACTACCATTTTTATTATCTTTTTATGAATACGACTATCAGGATCTAAAGGTCTTCGAGAAATTTCGGCTTTTAAAGTATAATAAATTCTTCCACAACCTCCATCCATAACGATTGAAGGGGGAAGATTATTGGGAAGTTTGAATTTGAAAGGTAAATCCAAAAATTTTACTCCTTCATATGAACCTTTACTTTGAGACTTCCATAAACAAGTAGTTGTACCAAAAAATTTTCGTTTGGCAGTATGAATTGACGGGTTAGTTGGAGAGACATCACTATCATATTCATTATTAGCATAACTTTCATCTCCATCGGAATAATCATTACCATCATTGTTGTTTTTTTCTTCGATTAAAGTTCCTCTGAAAAAGGCATATTCTTTTCCAACGAAAGAAACTTTAACTTTTTTAGCGAATACCGGTTTCTCTTCAGTATAACGAATGTGCAATATACCTGATATGATAGATTTATTTGCACCTAGATGACCTAGCTGGAAGGAATTCTCATCGGGAGAATAACTAAAGAATGCTTTCCTGCTCAATTTTGAAATGGGTGACTTGGGTGATTTGGGCGATTTGGGTGATTTGAGCTCGGAATTGATAGTATTGTTTGATTCTACGGTAGACATTTTTTAAAAGGTGAAACCACAAAAAATTAGGACGAAAAAATTTTCTGGGGTAATATAAATATATTTATTGTGATCACCAAACTATAGTTTATTAATTAATATCACATGTATGAAAGATCATAAATAAAGAAATAGTTTTTTATTTCCAACTCCTGAGTTTATGTGAAAAAATCTTTATGAATAAGATTTCAAGAACTCTCACTTTTGCTGATACCACATGTTACGCATGCATAAAATGATATGATGTATTGATTTTCTTTCTTAAAATAGTAAAAATCTTGAGATCTGAGGATATTATGAATTAATAATTTAAAGATAGGATATCGAGTGATTCAACTTAGTTTTCATGCGATTTCATAATTCTTTTATGAAAAAAATACACCCGTTTTTTTATTGAAAAATTTCCTATATATAAGCTGACAATAAAAAATTTTAACTTTTAATAGTTTTAAATATTTAACATTCATATATTTGATAATCATTAAATTCATTATAAATTTGATATAAATGATACTTATAATGTAGGGTGAGAAAATTTTAGAGTTGAATTATTGTGAAAGTTAAGAGATTCAAATATGAACATTTTGTGCAAAAAAAATGGAAAGAGAAATATTTTAATAACTAAAATTTTTGGTTTTTTCTTCTAAAAGTAATATTTTAAAGTAATTCTTTGGAGTTTTTCGAATTTTGACAGTTTTCATCAATGTTTTCATAAATTCGCATATATTGTTACAATTAAATCTATTGATTCCTATAATAATAATTATTAATTAAAGTTAACATCGGAGCAAAGCTCCGTTGAGTAAAATAAAGAAATTTATAGGTTTCTTGCTATTGAAAAAATAAATAATTCTTTAAGAAATTCTCATCATTATGTAAAGACAATTATTTTTTAAATAAAATTTTTTTCAATGAGGTGACAAATATTAATCAAATAACAATTATTATTGTTATTCAAATATGCCACCTGTGATTAATTTTTTCTTGTCAAAATTAAAATAATATTATCCACTATAAATATAATATTTTACCTTTTTTTTTTTTTAAAAAAAAAAGAAAGTTTTAAAAATGATGATCTGTAGATTCAATAGAAAAAAAATAAGCGTATTATCTCCAGTTCTTATATTCTAAAGAATTTAAGGAAAATATCATACAAATCTGGAATATTTTGTTTTGTTCCATATCACTTTATTTTAGTTGGAATTAAATGTTAAATTTAATTAAATTCTATAAATTCAAACTTTTATGACTAATCCATAAAGAGATGCAGTTTATTTTCTTTCTCACTAATACACAAATTAATAATGTAATGTCGTTATAGACTTTTATCATATTTAAGAATTCAGTTGTTGACTTTTCATTCCCTCAACTCATTTTCTCCAAGTTGGATAAAATTAATAATTTCTTTATAAATATTATAAATACTTTAATACTTTTTTTACATTAAATTAAATTTTGAAATTTATAAATTTCTATTATCCCATAGATTGTTGGATTTCAAATGCTACATAGTTTTAGAAAACAAATTTGCCTGTCCGACAGATTAAGGGATAATGAAATTTTTATTGCGTTTTGTTTCTCATCTATTCTAATGAAATCAAATATTAACGTTTGACAGTTCCTCAAATTACTAATGCAAAAGCAGGTGACATTGAATGTATTTTCAGTTGATTTGCCAACACTTAGTGCTCCCAACGATCATTGAGTTTTATAAACTTTCAACTTGTGAGTTTACTAATCTCGAATTTAACGTTATCACATTTTTTTATTAATAACAAATTTTCAGGAAAAAAATTTATGTTTTCTATATTGTTACAAATTAATTTTGATCTGTTTGCCAATTAAAAAAAAATAATAATAAAAATAATAAGAAAATAAATTAGTTATAACAAAAATATCACATTAATAAATACTTATTTTGTAATATCAGAATCAACTCAATCATGTTATATTTACTTAAATCTCTCTTTTATTTCAATTTTATAATCAACAAATCTTCAAATTCTGTAATATCACTTTTATTACAATGTGAACTATTATTACCATACTTATCAATCACATAATTCTTGATCTTCATAAGTATAAACATCAATATATAGTCTGTAGTACAAATTAGATATTATTACTTAAATTAGTAAATTCCTAAATTCTTGTTAATCTGTAACACTAGAA